GAGAACAGATTTGAAGAGGTGGAACAAATGAGTGGAAATGGACTATATTCCTAGGAAAAACTAGAGGCCCTGCACACAAAATTTCATGCATGGGTAAGGTCCCTAGGCCTGGCTTACATTCAGGGCCGATCTTCCGTGACTGCCGGCCCCATCTCCTGCCGCCAGTCACCCTGTGTGGGGTGACCAGGGCCCCACTTACACCCACCTTGGTGTGGAGCGGCCGTATGCTGCCACCCTCCTCCCACACCCAGTTGCCGATTCCCCATTGGGCGATCGGAGCCTTCTGGTCAGGGGGAGAAACTAAGGGGTTGGCTGGCAGGCACTGATTGGCAATCGAGGCCGGCAGGCTGGGGGCAGCTCCTGCATTGAGTGTCTGCCCCCGTTGGTCAGTGTGCATCATAGCTACCGGTCATTCCACTGTCCGGTCGATTTGCATATTATGGTTTTATATGTTTTGCAGCACCATGAACTCAACAAAGGTCGAAATGTACAGTAACACGTTATACCTTGATAATGATTATATATCATTAGAGATGCCAATTTGCAAGGTTGTAGGATTGCCTTCAGTATTATGCCACTACAAGCAATATTCAGGGAGAAAAAAACATTCAAAATTTATTTAGTACCTATAATGTATGTAAGTAGTGTGCCAAAGACTTCAATGAGCCCTAGCTGATTTGGCTGTGGATAAAAAAGTCAGCCTGCGGATTGAAGGCTCTTGGGTTTGATTCTGGTCAACGGCACATGCCTGGGCTTGATTCCCAGTGTGGGGTGTGCAGGAGGCAGCAGATCCATGATTCTCTCATCAAGGACGTTTCTCTTTTAAAATCAATTAAAAAAAAAAAAAGGCGTCAATGAAGGGAACTTGCGGGAGTCAGATTAAGCAGATGGGTGAAAGATGTTATGAGGCCAAATCCTATCCTATGTAAGAGAAATATGCAAATAGACCAAATGGAAAAACTGGTCGCTATGATACGCACTGACCACTAGGGGGCAGACGCTCAACACAGGAGCTGCCCCCTGGTGGTCAGTGCTCTCCCACAGGCTGAGGGCAGTGGCAGGAGCCTCTCCTGCCTCTGTCAGACATCCCCCAAGGGCTCCCAGATTGCTAAAGGGTGTAGCCAGGCTGAAGGGACCCTCCTGCCCCAAGTGCACAAATCTCATGCACCAGGCCTCTAGTGTAATTATAAATGGCTTGTGTTGGGTAATGAGCAACTTACTGATCCTCTCAAGCCATTAAAAAATAATCTGAATGAATAGCAGTCAGTTCAGACAACTACTAGAAACTGTAACTTTGTAAAGAGCCAGTTATCAGGAAGATTCTATGAAGAATACAAATAGAGACCATGCTGGTTCTATCAGTATATAAAATGTTGGCCAGACTAAAGGGTCCTGGGTTTGATACCAGTCAAGGGCACATACCTCAGTTGTAGGCTCCATCCCTGACTCTGGTCAGGGTGTCCTGAAGCAACCAATCTGTCTCTCTCTCCCTCTTTCCACTCTAAAAATTAATGGAAAAATATCCTTAGGTGAGGATTAAACCCCTCCCCCCAATAAATAAAACAGAGTTGGATTCAGTTAAGTTATATGAAATAACACTTGTGTGCATTACAACTTTAGGGAGGGAAACAATATCTTACAACCAGGAGAAAATGGCAGAAAAATTGTTTATAGGAAGGTGACCAAGAAAAAAAAGGATCTGAGGTATACTGGGTTTCCATATTTTAAGCTAGCTCTGGTGAATATAAATAACTTATTAACTTGACCAAGTCAGGACCAATTATGGTTCTTGAATCCTACCACTCCACATCACTAGGCCAATAGTGATGAGAAAAGGGTGACAGCCTCTGGTGATTTGCATACTGTGGGTGCTTCTGGAGTGCAAAGCCACAGCTCTAGTAATGTTATTTTATGCTAAAAACTAAAGGCACTCCAATTCCTAGAGAAAACGTTTATTGCTAATGTATTTACAGACCTTTACATTAGCCTCAAATCATCTTATCCCCTTCTCTACAACTTTCATTCACATACCTTTATATTGTTGAATTTTCCAGTCTTTCCTTGAACACTTTTTTAAAAAAAATATATTTTACTGATTTTTTTTACAGAGAGGAAGGGAGGGGGATAGAGTTAGAAACATCATTGAGAGAAACATCGATCAGTTGCCTCCTGCACACTCCCCACTGGGATGTGCCCGCAACCAAGGTACATGCCCTTGACTGGAATCGAACCCGGGACCCTTGAGTCCGCAGGCCGATGCTCTATCCACTGAGCCAAACCAGTTAGGGCAAACACTTTTTTGCAATTTGTCCAAATCCCAACAATCCCTCAAGACCTAGTTCAAAGCCCAGCAAACACCCCTGGAGCACTTCAAAGGACAAAAGGAACTTCAGAGCCCTTTGTGAGTTCCAGTTTAATTATTATATGGTGCCAGAAACTGAAACATTTCTTCCCACCAAAAGACACAAATAGACTAAAATTTAACATAAGTAAAACACTATAAATGTGATCATTTTTCTTTTGCACTACCTCCCAGGTGATAAATCAAAATGACAGAAGGAACTATAATTTGTGTTAAAAGTTTTTATTTAAAAATAAATGCCCACAAAGTGCAATTATTAATTGCCAGAGTTTGAATGTTACTTTTAAGCTAGTATTTAATTACCTTTATATCAGTGATTTCCTTTTCTTACATTAAAAATTATGCCACCATTCACATTTGTTTAGCTAGACCACTTAATCACACACACATGATCTAGCCATTCATCATCTTCCCTTGTTTTGTTCTGGTCCCTCTTACCATCATCTCTCTTGTATGACTTGCTCTTCATTTCCCTCCATGCCAGTACAATGCTGGAGTGATGCCTGGAGGCTAAACTGAGGGGAGGGTCTCTTTCCTATAATACATTGAGATCTTGTGGCACTTCAAAAATTAATGGCATACTATTTTGGAAAGAAATGAACATACTACTCAGGAGAAATAAGTCACCGTCCCTGGTGAAGCAATTAAATTTTAACTTCCATATACCATCCTTTTTTTTTAAACTTTTGCCTTTAAGGAAAATTGATTTTGGGGAGGAAGGAAGACAGAGATAGAGACATAGAGCACTGATGTGAGATACATCGACTGGTTGCCTCCTGTATGCCCCCTAGCCGGGAAATCAAACCCACGACCTCTGGTGCAAGGGATGATGCTCCTGTCAACTGAGCCACACTGGCCAGGGCTATCTTCTTGTTCTTTTTTTTACACACAGGTTTGTTGTTCTACTTCATGGATTCATTGGTTGATTCCTGTATGTGCCCTGACCCAGGACTGAACCTGAAACCTTGGCAGTTAATATTTTACTGTAATATATTGATCCCTACAAATAGTCCAAAAAGAGCACAAATATCCCCCCCCCCCCATTTTAATAATCAGCTGCCTATTTTTATTGGAGCTAGAAAACAAATGTTTGTAAATTGAAAGTTGCCATTGGGTTTAAAAATAGGGACATCTGAGTAACACCTCTTGAAGATAACCTTTTAAAAAGCTTGAAATGTAAAATTAGTATTTGAAAGCACCATACGAAAGAAAAAGAAAACAAACCAGACATGGAGTAAGGTACATTTCAATTTAATCACTGTGAACACCAGTTTATAAAACTGCTGGCAAGACACGCAGGCATTAGGTCGCAAAGGAGATCCAAGAATCTTGTTCATGTCTACATATTATCTTAAACTATGGAAACTTGGCTACTTTCTTTCATCACTATCACATGCATTTAAAGTTAAATACTTACCAAATTTTCAATGTCTGCTTATCCTTGCTAGGAAAGGACAGAGTTCCTTAGAAATTTACTTCACTTTAAATCTTAAAGACATAAATTAAGGGTCCATACATTGTTTAGTACTTTATCTAGAAGAATGCATCACCATTATCACATACTCAGGCACCATTTTTCAGATTTTAGAAAACTATCATTGTTCATACTAAAAAGCATTAAGAGTTGATTGTTCATTTTGAGTTTACAAAGATCAGCAGGAGATACAAAGTGAAAACATCCTTAGTATATATTTACATTACCTAGCTTGTGGCTCAAGACTAGAGGGGAAGGTATTAAACTGGGTATCAATTAACTAAAAATATACAGAGGCTAATTTTCATGGTTTACAGTCCCAGAAACCACTATTTCTAACCCAAGTTTTTCATGCAAGGTTAGCTATTTAAGAACACATTGGAAATTTTGAAGTCTCAGTCAAAATGAATCAATTAGCCTCACTCAAAGAGAATCAATTAACCAACATTACCATGTTTCAGGCCAGCCTCCTTCAACCTTACCCTCCGAATTGCTCACAAATCACTACAACAACAGTTTCAAGAACAGATAGGAATTCTGGTATTTAAATTTTACACCTATACAAAGTGAGAACCAAAAGAAATTTTGGTTGTCAACTAAAAAAAATAAGCTTAAAATTATAAATGCTAGATAGTTTTGAATAAAAACCCTTTCTTTCCATCTCACCAAAAGGAACTAATTTCTGTAAAAAGTTTTTGTAGTTAGTCTGTTAAGTGAAGTTCAGAAAAAAAACACACAAAAAAATGAACCCAGATTACTGCAGAAATATCAAGAGGTAAAAAAATCACCTTCTTAACATTCTCAATTCAGGTAATATCTAGAGTGCAGCCCTAGCCGGTTTGGCTCAGTGGATAGAGCATTGACCTGTGGACTGAATGGTCCTGGGTTTGATTCTGCCTGGTCAAGAGCACATCCCGAGGTGCAGGCTCGATCCCTAATGTGGGGTATGCAGAAGGCAATCAATCAATGATTCTCTCATCATTGATGTTTCCATCTCTCCCTCTCCCTTCTTCTCTGAAATCAGTAACAAAATATATTTTAAACAAACAGATAAGTAAATAATAAAGAGTGCAGAAATTCAGATTGCCCACTCTTTGAAGTTTCCCCTTTTGGTAAAATTTAAAAGGAAAAACTATGATATACAAAAGTATAAAATAGTACTCACCAGAATGGCAGCTTTAAAGAGATGGTTTTAAGGAAAACCATTTCCACTGCATCTACACCATTTCTTATACAGTTTTAACTGTGAAAGGCAATGAAACTTAAGCCCTTAGGTAATTTTGTATTAAAAACCAAGTGGATACCTTATAAAATATATATTTTTTCATCAGTTGATAAATTGAGGCTTTAAAAAAATTTAACTGAATGTTGATCACCATCCTAGTTGCTTTTATGGGTGGACTGTCTCAATCAAATTAGACAACATTACACTTCGGTGTAAAGGAGGAAGCCATGAATCCATCAATGCTACAAACTGGAAGGATGGTTCAGGCTTTCATAAAAGCTAAGCTGCATGCTTTATTCTTCATCTTGGTATTTTAAATTTTTATCAACATAAGAGTACAGTATTTAAAGGTTAAAGGATATTTCTCACGGATGGTTCAAGGCAACAATAAACTATAGTAGACCAATAAAAACAATAATAAAAACTTGAACATCTTTTACAATCCATTACATCTCTGCTCCTCAAAAGAAACATATGGAGAATCCACCTAGATTTCTTGATGGGTAGTCAGCTTTCATTTGAATATTTAAAAAGTAAGGTTTGTTATTTTTGGTTCAAAGTAAAATAAACCCATCATGGTGGTGCACCAACAGAATAGGTTCTAGTTTACAAAAAATGAACAAAATTAGTACTTATTTACAGCAAATTACTAAAACTTTTTATGAGCTAAAAAACCCACCATTTATCATTGCTAAAGGTGAGGAAACTTTTTGGGTTGATTCATACTGTAAAAAGTTGAAAGGTAAATAAAATACCACCACAGAAGTGACTTAAGTAAAAGACCCTGGATCCAAGCCCTGCATTCCATATGACATACCAAAATTAGCATATAGCTAATAGAAACTTTCACTGTCTTTTCCTTTTATGTACAATATATCTATTTAGGTTCAACCACAACCAAATAATAAAGGAGTAGTATTACCCTCTATTACAATGGAGGTTAGCAAACCTAAAGCTAATAATTTGCCCAAGTAGAGTGTCTGAAAGTGTCCAATGGGTCTATTATTAGTCATACTCACATTTAAGCAACTGCAGCTTTCTTCCTTGTGTGGGTTATGTGGATATGTTTGAAAAAAAAAATAGGAATATCAGGTACTTACAGATTAAACTAACCTGTACTGGCAGGGCTGTGGGGTTTTTCTTCTCTACCAGTAAGTAGCAAATGCTGAAATTCTGCTGCTAGTTAACAAAAACACAAATTGTATTAAACTGAGGAGTTCAACCCATACTTTAAAAAGTCAATGTGCATTAAATTTCCTCAGACCCTGACATTAATACATTAAAAAAAATTTTCCCTACATCTTACAAAAATTATCTTACATTGGCTATTAAATGTAGTGACCTTAAGAGAATGAATTAATAACACTATCTTTTGGACATAGCTGAATTTTAATAAAACATATTGTGTATTATGTGGAAATTTTTCTTATTCTAAAAGGGGAGGGGCCTATATCCAGCGGGGTTGGGGGTGGGGGAGATCACTTAAATGTGATAATTTCTTAATTTAGGTATATGTAGACACACCCCACAAAGGCAATTTAACACTAATTCAATTTTTCAAAAAATTGATTTCACTTTATGTTAAACTTAAAGATTTTAAATTATATGGGCTGAAAAGTAAATTCTATTTCTTCTCCTGGAAGTACACAGAACTAATAGCTAAAAGGGAGGCTTTGCTCACTCACTACACGCCCTTTTATGTTTTTAATTCAAACTTACAGGACTTTATTAACTCTTCTGTTGCATCACTTGGGTAGTTAAGCAGCGTTGTTTTATGAGTAGAGGCTGGGAAATAATGCTGCAAATCTTTTCACTCTGACTATTTATAAATAAAATATTGAGAATGAGCTACATTATAACATGATTTGGTGAAAGTATTATAATAAATGCAAAACAAGAGCAGAAATGCTATTACCTTTCATTACATTTAAAGTTAAGTCTAGCAAAACTATACAATGGTCTCTCTCCCAAATAATCACTATTAGTCTGTGTGTAGTACACTGAGGAGGACATAACATTCTTCATTTTTATCAACGATGGGCATCAATGAATTTCATTGTCAGTTGCTAAAAATTAACCAAAGGTGAAAGCATACAGATTCTTTAAAAATCCCGGACACATAAGAATGCCAAAGGGCTTGAAGAATTCCAATAAAGGACTTCCCCTTTTTACAAACACAGCATTATACAAACCCTGACCAAATACACAGAACACTACTGAAGCTGTGCCATCTCACCACTTTACACTTCTTAGTATTAATGGGTAGGGTCCAAATAACCAATCATTACAAGTTTACTCACATGTGTCTTCTATGTAGTTAATTTCATCAAAACAAAACATATACACAAACATATTCTCACAATATACCTGGTGATTACAGGCCTCCTAAAGAACCTAACATGAAACAGTCTTAATTTATAATGTCCAATTTGCTTGAAAAAGAAATGGTTCAAATTGGCTTCAGTGAAGATCTCCTTCAGGTCTCCAATTTCTGCTCAATATAACTTCTATATCTTACTTATTGAAATATATTTTCCCCTGAGGATATATATTAATGGAATAGATTTAGAGATGGTTCGAAAAATCTGAAACTATTAGTTTTAAGTTATTATTTTTCCAGAGTTGGTAAAATGAGAAGCTCTTTCTTTTATGGCCAAATTATGCAAGCAAGAATGTATACAGCCCAGGGAAGAAAGACAATGCTAATAAAATACAATTAATTATCTTCTGAGCCTTACTAAAGAAATCTAGTTTTTTAAAAAATGCTACTTTTAAAACTTATTTTCCAACAAAACTGTCAAGAATATGAACACACTTGTAAAGGTTGAAGATTAGGGAGGTCAAAGTCCTGTTTTCCCTACATCCTATGTAATTATTTTTAATTAAATCCATAATAGGGAATATCTAGATCTAAGATATTAATAGTTCTGAAAAGTCAACATTACAAAATTGTGAAATCACCATGTTTACAACACTATATATACATTACTAAAGTAACTGCTTATTTTGCCAATAAATTCCACACAGAAAACTTAAATGATTTCTATGCTAGAAAAAAAGGTTATTTATTAAAATGATTCAGATGACAAAATACTAAGGGTTAAAAAAAAAACAGTACCCTTCACTAATATTCAAGTCATGAGACAGCAAGCAGAAATATAATTGGGGAAATGTTTACTTACAAAAATCTGCTTTATAGTCAATAGTTTTAGAACTGAACCCCTCCCTCATTTTAGAAGACTTTTCCGTAGTTACAGTGAGATAAAACAGGTTTCATTTTGGAATTACAAACAGGTAAATACCACCTTTTAAAAAAGACATGCCTGATTTATACAAATTTTAGGATACATGTTGAATTTTTTAGAATCTCCTAACCAACACAAGTGTATATTTTATCTCATATGAGGTAACTTCAACATTTCCTTTTATTTATCAAGTTTTACCAGTGAACGTAATAAACACTCGAAAGTTATGTAATTATTAAAATCGTATTTGAGTCACAGAACTAGAGATATCATTATGCCACCCTTAAGGAAACCCCTCTTACCTCTGCTACAAGTATCTAAGAGCCTATTTGAATTATAATTATTTCAATTACCACTATCAGAACAAGCAGCTTTGCTCTTAAAATATTTCAGTACATTGGGAAATGGTGGTGCAACAGAAAACAACTCCAAATATGGAGTTTTAAATTGTATAATTATTGAGTAGATTATAAAATATTTCAGTGGAATACTTTCACGACAAAATTCTCCTATTCAAACATTTAAATCTATTCCCCCATGATTCAGTCACAGAGAAAAGCATATGAAAGTTAATTAACCAGGTGAAAACTTGGAATTCATTTAATGCATTTTTTTTCTTTATGCTTTGAATTAAAACCACATAGAAACACAATACCAGGTTTGCGAAAAACGTTGTACTATGTGTTAATTGCTACTGTTCAGATGAAAATGCTATCTGGATAGAATGGTGACTCAAACACAGGAAGAAACAAAACCCAGGTTTGCATTTTGGCCTCTCTTCCAGTTCCCTTTTTATTTCCTACAATATACAGGCATAAACTCATCTTTTCTCACCAACTTAAAGCAAACTTTAGTTGGGAAACAAACATGGATACTTCTCATGTATGTAGTTTGTATAAAATATTGTTCACTAAGACTGAAAATGAACCTCAAAATAATTGTTTTGAATCTACAGTTCAATACACTAATTTTACCACGATACGATTTTCACTTGGCTACCTGAAAATTAGTAATCTAGCCATACTGACAGGTCTGTAATACCCAAACTTTCACTATCTCCAATGTGTAGTGTATACGCATACATACCACACACATACCACCTTCCCACTTTTCCCAGGGCTCTACATTAACATTTGCTCTAATGTGGTGAGGTTTGAAAAATATTAAAAATCACAAGCATTTCCAGATGACCTTTCAACCTTAATGTTCAATGCATAACGTTGGGATTAAGAATGTGTATTTCAGTACCCAGTAGCATTTCCAATAATCAAACTTATCCTTGAGGTTAAATTTAATAGTTTCAAGAGAAAATAACCAGTATGATTTTCCTAAAAATTGAAAGTGGAAAATTTGTTTGAAATATTTCATGCCTCCAAATCAAAAATGTCAATTTTTTTCAATTTACAAAACTGCAATATTGCAATGCCAGCTTTACTGAGGCTTTTAAGTATAACGTAACACAAATTACGTATATCCAATGCTTCTTATTTATGTTTATTAACACCACAGTTAAACGTGAATATTAATATAGAGCCTTCTCTGCCAAAAGAGTATAAAAATCCTACGTTTAATTAAATGTAGGGGCCTTCACCAAACTTGCTGCAAGTTTGGGGACATAAATATCCAACAGCCATCAAGCTGTGAAAGCCCCTATAAGGAATAAAATAAATCCCACTTGCCTCAGACTGAACAGGGCAACACTGAGACTCAGCCTCAGCCTGTCCTATGGCAGGGCTATAGGAAGAAGAAAATTTTAATTTTAGAAAAACATTACCCAATTAATTTAAAAGACATGCATTTTTAAAAGATCCCAATGATCTAGCAAGCAAAGGGGGGAAAAGTAGCTCTTAAAAAAAAAAACAAAAAACCCCCCACTATTGCCCACTATAATTCTACTCTGAGACCAGTTATTTTTTGGGATTTCCCCCCAACACACCTGTTTAATTAAGCTGGGTTTAAGTTCAGTATGTAACTTATCAGTGGAATGGAAGCACACTAAGAGTATTTTCCCCAATCCTAATAGTAAATGTGTGAGATATTACTAAAATAGTAAGTACTCAAATCAAATAATTCCAGTAACAACTCAAAAGTTGTTCCTCACCTGCTGATCTTGTTACTGCCATACAGTAGTAATATCTATACAATAGAAACTAGTGCCAGACAAATGTTTGTCATTTTTGTTTTGTTAAAAAAAAAGTGATTAAGAGTGGATGAAAGGCAGAGCCAAAGCTGGCAGCCTCATTAATATTGCAACTTCCTAAATTATGGCAATTACAATGCCTGCCTGAAGATATCAAGTCCCAAAAGTTGTCTCTTATGAGGTAAGATGAATTTTACTTCAATTCACCACTATTATTAAGGAAGCATGTTCCAAAAAAATAATTATTTCAACGTAATTTGTTCCACTCATGATTTAACCACACTATGGACCCCAAAAGCAGTTAGGTAAAAGGTATTTTCTAGAAGCTTAATTATGCTTTAATGCAAGCACAAATTACACTCAGAAGTGAGCACTATCTGAGCATAACCTACAGAACACAAGAGACGGTGTTCTTAAGTTTTAAGTGTTTTAATGAGAATTATACTACTTACTTAAAATATTTTCTCCCTTCAGACCTCAGAAAGCAATAGTGACATAAAATATGTTCTCTTTGCATTAAATGCAAATAAAGTTTTGCATAATTTTTGAAAGTTTATATCATTTTTACCTCAAAGACTTTTCAACACATGTTTTTCTTTGGCAGTATAAATGATTTGCTGCCAAATTCCAAAACTATTTCAGTAGGCAGGCAACTGGAGGGGGAGCAATATATAAGGCTCAGCTAATAGAACAAAGATTAAATGTATTCTTGGTGATACATGTCTTATACCTATACCTTCACATAAAGGTTAAAAAGAAAGGTTACCATTTTCTAAGAAGTCTTAACTTTATATTGAGGAAAACCTCAACTTCAGGTCCTTATATTAATAATTATACTTTGTACAGGTCACTGATATTTAAATAAGCATAAATCTACCCTTAAACAATAAAAACACTGGATGCCAAAAGAGGTCAATAGGAGGTATCATTATGACACTTGCAACACAAAAAACTAAATAGCAGTCACTTCTACATAATAGTTCTCCAAATACTATAATAGAATAAAAAATTTCAAACCCCCCTGTTAACCATCCTAACAGGCATATTTAGATTCTCAGCATTACACTTGGAATATATACTAATCCATTAACAGCACAATAAGTAATTACTGCTTGCAGCCAAGCTTCTAGAAGTTTGCACCTGAAAAGCTCTGAGGTCCACGCAGTACTGCAGTCTCAAAAACAATCAGAAGGAAATGAATGGTCTGGCACTAGGTTCTAAATATCATCAGCAGGAAGCAGGAAATATTAAGGATTACATTTTAAATCTCTAAGACACCTAACAAGTATTGACATCATGGTGGTAAAAAGGTGACACAATATAAAGATTTCATACCCATTATGTAATGACTCGTACTTATCTAAGGTTTTCTGTTAACTAAAGCACTAACATACAATTCTATATATATTGTCCAGTTTAAAACATGCAGCTAAGAACAACCTATAATTCAAAGGCAGAATCCAATGATATATCAAAACTGCATTGGCAACTATGAATTTTATTATGTGGACATCTAATGTGGCATGCATCTGTACAAACCTTGCAGGCAGTGGTCCACAGCTGGGTTATGAATAAAAAGGCATAAATTTTTCTCTCATTTTATTACAATGAAGTTTAACAGTACAGAAAAAGTCACATGACCTTAGTGGGTCAGATTTCGTAAACCCTGCAACATGAGGAACTCTAAGCACATTAAATATTGTTACACAATCAGACTTCCAATGTACAGGTACTTGGAAATAGTTACAGCCCTCACCAAGCTAGGTTGGGGACATGAAGTCCAACAGCATCTGAAATGCTGTGAAGGCATAACTTTACAAATAGCAATGTAAGCTTACAGAACTTGCCTTTATTAAGGTGGTATGTTCATGAAATTCCAGCGCCTTCACAATATAACGAACCAAATTTACTATACTTCACTTCTAAAAACCTAGATGAAACATGAAAAAGAAGCCATACAGTATAAATTGCAACTTCAGGAAAAGTTCCTGCTTTATTATTCCATATAATTTTCCCATGTAAAATAAATGTCCAATAGTTCCTGGTATGTGGGAAGATAATGTTAAAGTCACAATGAAGCCTTATTGACGGTAGCTTGGCTATATAAACAGCACAAGTTGAGAAAAGGTTTAATCTCCAAACCTATTAGATTGGATGAAGCGAGATCAGTAACGGCCACCTTGCGACATTACAGGAGGTCTCATTCCCATCGGAGGTCGAGGAGGCCCACCTTGATAAGGGGGCACCATTGGCGGTCCCTGCCCATATGGTGGCATAGCACCAGGAAGGTAACCTGGCATGCCTTGATGATGACCACCATACTGACCTAAAAAACACATTTAAAATACAAAAAACAGATTGAGTTGGTTCGTGCATTGTACTTTTACGATAGCATCTTTTGCAGATACACTTATTTTATGTGTAGATTCAAAAAATCTGCTAAAAACAATAAACATAAAAAGAGGAATACCATGAGGTGGCATTGGGGGTCTCATTCCTTGTTGTTGTGGGATGCCTGGCTGTGGTGGCATCATAGCTCCAATTGGTCCAACTGGTGGATTACCAATGGGAGTCTGTCCTGGACGAGGAAGATTACGTTGATATTTAGGTAACTGTGCCCTTCTTTCTTCCTAAAAATAAAAAATAAGCACAATGTTAAACACCTGAATACAGAGACTCATTAAGCATAAAGGCAAGCATCTAAGACCTTATTTATAGAGTAAGTTTTTAAAAATGTATCATTTCCCAACCCATTACTTTTGCCCCACAAACCAGTTCAACTACTTAAAATATCAATTCTTTAAGAACTACCCATCTGTTTTTGTATTTGAAGCACAGATGACTTTAGGATTTATAAATTGTTTCTGCGATAAAGTGTCTTGTGAAGAAGACAATATGGTCTTCAAGTTATATGGTCTTCTACCTCACACTTCACTTACTTCAATTAATTTACAAATTTATGTCTAACTAAAATGAATTTTGAGAGTAAGAACTTATTATCTTCTTTCAGAAATAATCTGGTGGGATGGAATTCATTTAAGATCAAAACATGCACTATTCATTTTACTCTGTGGTTCTTAAAAATCAGAATGGGCCAGCCAGCGTGGCTCAGTGGTTGAGCCAGGAGGTCCTGGTTTGATTCCCAGTCTGGGCATATGCCCACGTTGTAGCTCGATCCCTAGTGAGGGGCATGGATGAGGTAGCCAAGCAATGATTCTCTCATCACTGGTGTTTCTCTCTCCCTCCCCCTCCCTCTCACTCTCACTTCAATAAAAGAAATCAATAAAAATAGATTTAAAAAAGGAAAAAAGGAGATTGCTTTTAAAAAAATCAGAATGGCAGGGCCTGGTTGGTGTGGCTCAATGGATAGAACATTGGCCCACACACAGAAGGGTGGCGGGTTTGATCCCCAGCCTTGGTGTGTGTGGGAGGCAACCAATCGATGTGTGTGTGTGTGTGTGTGTGTGTGTGTGTGTGTGTGTGTGTTTGCACGCGCGCACCCATATTTCTTCCTTCACCCCTTCCACTGTCTCTAAAAATCAATGGGAAAAATATCCTCCGGTGAGGATAACAAAAAGAAAAATCAGAATGGTAGCATTCAATCAGATTAATAAGACCATCATTTTACATATTAACACTTTTCAAATGGGACAAGCTGCTACAATGATATTCAATCAAATTCTGCTATCAAAAAAAAACTGTAAACAACTTACCAACGATATATCCTCATCTGGATGGATCAACTTACTGGTTGCACTGGTTGTTGTAAGAGTAGCAGGCTTACTTGTTATTGATGCCGCTGGTTTAGCTGCAGTGCTATTTGTTGTACTAGTGGTTGAAGCTGTAGACTGTGTATAAGCAGGGAATGTAGGCTTCGGGGGTTCTGTAGTTGTTGCAGGGGTACTACTTAAGGGCTTGAAATCTGTACCAACAGGTCCTTGGACAGCTGCCTGAGCCTGTAAAACACAATTTTTCATCAACAAAATCCAAAACTGAGTACATCTACTACCAACTTAAAAATAAGACACCAACATTCAATAAAAGACCAAATTCTAAATGAAATTAAAACAAAATTAACATGATAAATGCTCCACAAAAACCAAGAAATACGTAAGAATATCAAAACATGCTGGGTCACAATCACATCTAACACACAGCATTGGAACAACAAAAAGGTAATACTGAATATTTGACTTCTCAGGTGTCATCTACCTCCTCAACCAAGTTCTTTCATTTACAAAACTTTGTATTTATTCCAGGTTGATGAAATATAGTATTATATCTAATGAAATAGCATATGTTCTACTTATACTATTCTAAATTATTTAATTAATCTACCAAGTAATTAAAAAAAACCCCAAAAGGTTAGAAATTACAAAATACAAATGCTTGGATAAATTTCAGTTACTAAGCATAATTAATATAAATCGTGACACATTAAAAATGTCCTTCAAAGGTATCAGTTACATAATAATATAATGTCCTCCCAATTAACAATGGCTGGATGATTATCATGATCAAAATGGTTTAGATGATCTTTTAAGTATAAAATTACCGGTAATTAATGTGTTATTTTTTTGTAATATCCAACATCTAAAACATGTAGACAGGACAACTTTAGAGCCAAATTTCCTTACATGATAGGTGATGCATTAGATTAAACAGCATAAATCAAAATAGCTTAATCATGCATCAGGCTAACCATTGGCTACTAGAAGGCATTTACTGCTTACATGCTTTTAACCCTTTAGAACCATAGAAATTTGGGGTTCATTTTTTTTCTGAGTTCAATTTTCAAATACGATTGATTTGTACTCCATTAATCTTACTTAATAAAAATTACATAGTATATTTTTAAGGAAAAGATTTTGTTTAAAAGTAGGGTCCAAAGGGTTAAGTTATAAAGCCATTTTAACAACTTTAAACTGCAACTTCCTGCGTACTTGTGCTGTGCTAGGAAACAGAGCTTTAGAAGATGCAGACAGACTTTCTGAATTGGATGAAGCTGTACTTGAGCTTGTTACAGGTGTCCCCATCTGTAGCATAAAAGAAAGGAAACAATGAAAAGTCTCCAAACAAATGGGTGAAAATAAGCCATGTGGTAGACTTTTTTTTCTAGCATAGATTGCATATTTGTAAATGCAAAGTATAATGCAATCAAGTCTGATTTATTTAATGAGGCAGGCAGTTAATGCATTTATAATAAAGTGACAGTATGAGCCTCAAAAAAAGATTTAATTCTATACCAATAAACCTAATTAACCAGTTTCTTTTCTAGAAATATTTCAAAAATACTTAAAGATTGACACTTTAGTCCAATTCTCTATCAATGACACAACAAAATTTTTTTGCTAAGTTTAACATCTCTTAATAAACACCTACTCACCTCAAAAGTGTAAGCTAATGTGCTTCAAAAGCATTTTAAAAATGTTTTTAATTTAGCAACTACAAATAGTAAAAAAAGTTTAAAAAAGAAACTTCTAAGGGACAATCTTAAATTGAAAAATAAAAGAACATAACCCCGATTTTCTAAATTAAATACATCTGCTAATTCTGAATGAAACTGGGGGAAAAAGTAATAATCACTATAGACACAACAAATATAACAGAAGCACCTTTTGCGCTTCTGAGTTCTGGAGACAAAATCAGTAGGAAATTAAGTGCAACTAAGTCAAGAGCAATTAAATGGTGCCCTTTCAGCATGTGTGCATCATTGTAGTTTGTCACTGTTGTACACCAGAAGAGCCCAACAAATGATTTGCTAAGGTCTTAGGATTTTCATCTTTGGCTTTGCTTTCATTCCACTCATAATTCAATAGGTAAAGGAGGACCACTAAACATTACCACATATTTAAATCCCCAGAAATTAAACTTCATTTCTAACTAAAGCTAGAATAACCAGAGTTCACAGCAATGAAAAAATAACATACTATACTATCTCTGGCTCCAGTCAATCTTTTGAGTCGACAAAATCAATATATGCAAACAAGAAAGAAAATAGACCACTTCTTAGTATGCTTAATAAATTATACTAAAACCATAAACAAAAATTGACCTTTGACAATTTCAAAGATTTTTGTAAACAACTACATTTTACCTTTAAATATGAGTGCATTCCTTTTCAGGAATTTCACCTTACCTGTCCGGCACTGGGGAAAAGAGGCTTAGTAACTGGAGGCTGTGGAGCAGGAACTGTTGCTGTTGGTGCAGGTGGTCTATTAAGAATACCTGGTGCTGAAACAGCCTGTGCTTGAGTCATTGGCGGAATTCCAGGACGTGGAACAGGAGGGGGCATACCTGTAAAGAAGAAATGTTGGGAGGAAGACTCAGTTGTTGGAAGCATTTAGTTCAGAAAAAAATATTTCCCCAAAACTTTGCTGTTACAATATACCATATTAAAAATGCTTCCATACTACAAAGTTACTAACAATTGACTTCTGAACTTGATGAAATCCGAAGAACTTAGGCATTTGTCCCTTGAAATAATCTTGCCTCAAACAAACTTGTCTCCAGAATTTTGTGGAATGAAAGATACCACTAGAAACCCTGTATGTTGGCAAAGCAGGCAATTGAGCTTAACTGATATTGATTTAGCAAACCAATTCTTTAAACATATAGAGAATTCCATCAACTAGAATTCTCTGAACTCTAATGCAAATTACATAGAGTAAAAAGGTGATTAAATCACATACCCATGAATTTTCCAAAAAACTAAGTTATTCCTTTAAACAAATTTTCCTAAAATGTATCACTATTGCATTCTTTAAACTTCAACATAACTTAAACTTAAAACTTTCACTACAGATTATCAAATGAACACTGGTTATTATTCTTTAATATTTTACTTTTTAAAAATACATTTTTATTTCAGAGAAGAAAGGAGAGGGAGAGAGAGAACATTAATGATGAGAGAATCATTGATCGGCTGCCTCCTGCATGCTCTACAGTGGGATCGAGCCCACAACCTGGGCATGTGCCCTGAGTGGGAAGCGAATGTGCCCTTGATTGGAATTGAACCCTTCAGTCCGCAGGTTAATGCTCTATCCCAGCCGTGGGCAAACTACGGCTATGCCAGAAGAGTGGAGGGTTCTCTTGCTCTCCCCTCCGCTCCTTCACCAGCAGCAGTGTTAACATGTATTAGTTCACACAAACACTCCATCCATGCTTTTGTTCCGGCCCTCCAGTCCAGTTTAAGAACCCATTGTGGCCCTCGAGTCAAAAAGTTTGCCCACCCCTGCTCTATACACTGAGCCAAAGGAGCTAGGGCTTCTTTAACACTTTAAATGCCCAAGATTATCTTAGAGCATTACGTATGTTGAGTTATTGCCTATAAATTAATGGCTACACTGGTGATGCTTGCAATTTTGCTGCAGTTTTATTTTCCTAGTTACTTTTATATATCAACTATCACTTAAGTACTTCTAAACCTGCCGTGGATTATAACCCAAACTTAAAGGTCTCTGTGGCACACTTATTTGGCTAACAAAATCCCTTTCCCCGTATTATAATCTAAAACATCAAGACATTTTATTTCCCACACTCCCTTTGCAGCAAGAGGGTCCATTAGACCTATTTCTGGCCAAGACATAGAAGGGGCTAAGGAGCCTCCAGGAAAGCTACTTCGCTCTCTAATAAAAGAAAAAGGAGAGCATTGCTGTTAACACCATTTCTTGCCCCTGTCATCTTGTTACCGCTGAATGACATGGTTGAGGGAAAAAAGCTAAGGTTAACAAAGTGGAAAATTTTAAAAGCCACTGAATCTACCACTTTTCTTTTTGTTGAGATAATAAATGTCTACATTGCTTAATACAGTTAGTTTGAGTTCTATATTACTTTGTTAAGAGTCTTATTAGTTGCCAAAACCGGTTTGGCTCAGTGGATAGAGCGTCGGCCTGCGGACTGAAAGGTCCTAGGTTCGATTCCGGTCAAGGGCATGTACCTGGGTTGCGGGCACATCCCCAGTGGGAGATGTGCAGGAGACGGCTGATTGATGTTTCTCTCTCATCGATGTTTCTAACTCTCTATCACTCTCCCTTCCTCTCTGTAGAAAATCAACAAAATATATTTAAAAAAAAAAGTCTTATTAGTTACCTAAAATATTCCTAATAAGTATAACAACTCTTAAGCATATGACCGTCAGTGCACAGGCTCTGTGACTCATTTTGGCTGCTTTGAATCCTATTTTTACTATTCTAAAACTCAATAAATAAATAAATAAATAAATGGGGGGGGGGTGTCCATCTTAAGACTTTTCATGGTGCCCTAGCTGGTTTGGCTCAGCAAATAGAGTGTCGGCCTGTGGACTGAAGGGTCCCAGGTTCCAATCTGGCCAAAGTCACATGCTGGGGTTGTGGACTCGATCCCCCCAGTAGGGGGCGTGCAGGAGGCAGCCAATCAATGATTCTCTCTCATCATTTATGTTTCTATCTCTCCATCCCTCTCCGAAATCAATAAAGAAAATATTTTTTTTTAAAAAAAGGCCTTCTCATGGTAATTTTTACAAGTCACCAACCTGCCCTGGCCAGTTGCTCAGTGGTTAGTGTCTGACAGCTGACCAAAGGGTTGTGGGTTCAGATTTCTAGTCAAGGGTACATGTGGGAGGCAACCAATCTATGTGTCTCCCTCACATCAATATCTGTCTCTCTCTCTCTCCTCACCTCTCCCTCTCGCCCGCTCTGGGTGAGAGTTAATAAAAACACACACATAAGAAAGTACCAACCTACAGAAAGTTTAAATTACATTGCACCAGTGCCCACAAATCTATTGTCTAAATTACTTAAAAGAATCAAAGCGGCCCTAGCCAGTTTGGCTCAGTGGACAGAGCATCGGCCTGAGGACTGGAGGGTCCTGGGTTCCATTCCAGTCAAGGGCATATGCCCAGGCTTTGGGCTCAATCCCCAGTAGGGGGCGTGCAGGAGGCAGCAGATCAATGGTTCTCATCATTGATGTTTCTATGTCTCTCTCCCTCTCCCTTCCTCTCTGCAATCAATAATAAAATATATATATATGTAAAAGAAATATATATATATTTACTTAATATATATATATTAAGTAAAAGAAAAAAAAATTGTCTAACATTCTTACCTGGTGGCATACCAGGCATTAGAGGTGGTATTCCTGGTCCAGGTGGCATCATTCCACCCATTGGCATCATTCTGTCAGAAAGCAAATTTCAAGAAACAACTAAAGTTAATTATCAGTATAAACCGTAGAAAATATTTTGGCTAAATCCTGAAACAATAGATAAGACTTGAATTTGACCCCTAATATTGAAATCAAGCTGAAAGAACACACACCACACTAAAAACAATCCTATCAAAATAAGACCTCTAAAAAGGAGCAAACTCTTGGGTTTACCAGTAAGATGGGGGAGGTGTGAAGTCAGTCTTTGCAATAAACAAACAAACCATAAAACAATTTAATACATTTGAAGTCATCAGGAATAATATTACATGCTATTCTCGATATATATAAGAGGCCTCATCTAAAATATGTGCAACTGGGAAGCAAAATCACCTTTTGTCTCACTTGGAAAATATCCACACAGAATATAAATAAAAAAGAATCCCTATTTTAGAGTCAACAGATTTTTCAAAAGGAAAATACTGAATGTACATTGTGGAGATAAATTTTTTTTGGAGGAGCACAGAAAAAATTTCACCAATATTAAAGATAGTCAAAAGTAAACTCAGATTGCCTAATTTTTACTTAGATTGGCTACCTAACACTATAGCATGACTTAAAAACAAAACCTCTATTTTTTTTTCTCTTCCCCTAAAAGAACTCATCTTCAAATACCAATGTCCAGTGCACTTAAAAAATTTTAAGTTTGTAAATTCTTGATTTAGGACTTCTATCAGAAGATTAACTTCTATATATTGAGTTCATTAGGAAAAGTTTGATTATCTTCTATAATAATAAAGCATCTAATTTGGTAAAAGATTATATATTCTTTCTTAAATACCAACCCTTTTTACTAAATCCCATTACTTTTAGCAGTTAGGAGAAAATACCTACACGTTTAGAAAATACTTATTTTATATATGGATTTATTACTATTTCCTCAAAGATGTTTTATATCCCTCCTTTCAGAGACTTGTGTCAACCAGTTTGCAAGCTGTACGAAGTTTTAGTGAGGAAGGTTAGAAAATTTCTGAACTCAATTGAATAGATCCCATTAAACACACAAGAAAATGACATTATGATTATACCTCCTGAATTACATCATGAATGAGATGCTTACATGTTTTCACCGCAAAATGACTGGGTGTATTTTCTCTGATGATGCAATCTGTGAAAATGTATGACAAAATCAAAATCTAACTGTGATTTTCAAAATACAGTGGGAAAGTGTATTGTTTACCTGTCACATCCAACAACATTTAAGTAAAAGTGATGGGCACAAGCACCTCATATTTATAGTTTTTGATGATTTGACAAATACTTAAATCATTTACAGAATTTGCCTGTCACAACCAAGTGTCATGGACAGTTCTGAATCTCAGAAACTCAACTCTACAACCAACTACTTTAATTACACCAGATGCAATTAAAGCAGATGGCTGCCTAAATACATCCTAAAACACAAAAATCTATTCTCTTCAGAGACAAATTCATTGGTAGATCCCGTTATTAGACAATTTTAATATTTATAGAGCCCATACCTTTTAGAAAGAAAAATGCAAAGTCACATTTAATTCATAAACACTCAAGTTGAAAGATCATTACTAGGCAAAGTCCACAAGACATTTAAAAAGAGTTTTCTTACCCAGGTGGCATGCCTGGCATAACTGGTGGCATTCCTGGCATCAGAGGAGGAACACCTGGCATTAATGGAGGTATGCCTATAAACAATTTCAACAACAGAAAAATCAAATTAATATTAAAGGGTTAGGATGAAGAATATAATACTTCTAACACTGTATCAATAATATCCTAAGAGTGTCAAATTTTAAGAAACTCTATATGCTACCTGGAGGCATTCCTGGTGCTCCCGGAACTGGTGGTAGTCCTGGCTGTGCCATTGGGGGTATATAGCCTTGTTGGGGTTGAACAGGCTGTGGTTGAAATGAAGTTGAAGCTGCAGAGTCGTCATCATCATATTCATCAGAATCATCTTGCTGCTTCTTTTTTTGACTCTCTGTTAGGAAAGTTTTAATTTTCCCATAGAGAAGGGGGGACAGGGAACCAAAGCAAGTTTAAGACATTCAACATTTAAAAAAATTATTTCAGTGCAACTAGCTCATAAAATTTTTCTTCTAAAAATATTTCAGTTAATATTATTCTTTACCCTTCAAATGTGTTTTCAACCTATATTAAGCAATTACCCATTCTATGACAGGTAAAAATAATTCTAAGTCAGTTTTATTTTTAAAAAACAGCTTTCTATTCCATCCAAAAAGGTAAACTACGGTAAAGAGGCCTGACCTCTCTGCAATACTTTTCAAAACTAAAAGTTCCATAGGTGATTAATAACAGCTCCTATCAACTGGATATGTGGCTTCAATGTCAAATTTTTAAAAAATGTATACAACTAGTGGTTACATAAATCAAAACAAGCTACCTTTGCCAAGGCCAGGGAGCTCAGTTGGTTAGAGCATCATCCCACAAGCCAAGGTTGGGGGTTCTATCCCTGGTCAGGGTACATAAGAATCAATCAGTGAATGCATAAGTAAGTGGAACAACAAAATTGATGTCTCTCTTGCTCTCAAATCAATTAAAAACAAATACCAACTACCTTTATTTTTAAAGGCCTCAGCACTTGATAATTCCACTTGGAATTCAGTTATGAATATTTGAAATGATCCAAACAGTATTATTTAGTTATATATATATATACTAGAGGCCCAATGCATGAAATTCGTGCAAGAGTAGGCCTTCCTTCCCCCAGGTGCCTGCACCGGCTTCCCTCTGGTACCCAGGACCCGAGCTTCCCTTGCAGCTTCAGCTTCGTCTGGGAAGGTCGTCCAGAAGGGTGTCCAGTCTAATTAGCATATTATGCATTTATTATTATAGACTAGAGGCCCAGTGCACAAATTCATGCACAGATGGGGGGGGGGGTGATCAGCATGGGCCGGTGAGGGGGAGGGAGGTGCGGCCCTGCAGGCAGTTTGCTGGCCGGCCCCACCCCCTGGTTGAACTCCTGCCTATTAACCTTTTATTATATAGGATAGAAAATATATATAAAAATCAATACACAACTTCAAACATAAGACAAATATAACTGAATAAATCTAACATCTGCCATTAAATTTATACTTTAAAGTAGCAATACTCTCACTAGTGAAGCTATTTTAAGAAAAAGCATACATTAATATTTACCCTGTGTTTTCTGTTCAAGAAGTCTTCTTCTTTCATCCATGTCTTTTTCTGGAATACCTTCCATACCATATATTTCCAACTCTATGTCTGTTCTCCCAGGTATTGCATTTGGTACAGCATCTATTGTCTCTTTATGCACCTAACATTAAAAAACAAACAAAAACCTCCATCAGATAGGTAAAAGTGTCTTATAAAAGTATTTCAGAGAGTAATTTCAAATTACTCAAGAGACCATTTAGTATGTTGGTTAAGAGTGACTGGTTCTGCCCTAACTGGTTTGGCTCAATGGATAGAGAGTAGGCCTTTAGACTGAAAGGTCCCAGGTTCGATTCCGGTCAAGTGCATGTACCTTGGTTGCGGGCACATCCCCAATAGGGAGTGTGCAAGAGGCAGCTGGTCGATGTTTCTCTCTCATCGATGTTTCTAACTCTCTATCCCTCTCCCTTCCTCTCTGTAAAAAATCAATAAAATATATTAAAAAAAGAAAAAAAAAAGAAAGAGTGGCTGGTTCTATCCCTAGCTGGTTTGGTTCAGTGGATAGAGCGTCAGCCTGGGGACCAGGTTCAATTCTGGTCAAGGGCACATGCCCAGGTTGTGGGCTTGATCCTCAGTAGGGGGCGTGCAGGAGGCAGCCGATCAATAAGTCTCTCTCATCATTGATGTTTCTAGCTCTCTCCCTCTCCCTTCCTCTCTGAAATAAAAAAAAAAATTTTTTTAAAAGAAAGAAATGCAATTACAACCTCAAGCACATTAACTAGTCTTTACTAAGTGATAGTTTAGCATCTATACAATTGGAGGATGTCTGACTTAACTGACATACTCATCTCATAGGTTGCTCTGAAATTACAGTAAGACTATATAGAAACAGAATTACTTAGTCAAAGATGCTACTAATAATTTCTCAACTAATCTCCTTCCAGCTTCCCCTACATTTTATCTGATCTTCTCTATAGTACAACTCCTTGAAAGAATGCCTCTTCTATTTTCCCATTTTCTCCTTTTTGTAAACTAGGCAAAGAACAATTTGTGTATAAGCAAAAATGGAAAAGAGCTGCAGTGTCCAAGGGGTGTGGGCTTAAAAATATTAGCACTCTAGATTTTAACAGATGCATAAATAAAATTTGAAAAAGCAGTCATAATATAAAACAGCAGCTTCACAGTAATGCCTTCAGAAGTTTAACCCTTTGAGTGCCAACCAATATCCTAGGAACTATGCTAAAATTGCCAAGGCATTTTTGCTGATTTTACAGCAGTTTAGGAAAAAAATTATGAATCGCAAGTAAATGAAGTTACATATTCAAAAATCTTCCACAATATCGTCATCTTCACAGCAAGAAGTGACATATTTAGCAATATCATCATCACTAATAAAAGCAGAATTAGAACTGGACGCTATTTCGAAGCTTTAGGGCTACAAAATCTGAGTAAACTTCACAAAATTGTAGTACCTGTAAAAAATTAGGCAGATAAATGCCAATGGTCAATTTTAGAACTACAAACATTCGGCATCATAAGTAATCTGCACTTAGGTGCCATCTGTCAATAAAGAGTGAACTACTAGCATCTAATAGTGACACTGAAGGAGGAGCACAATAGCGTTCCCGGCACTCTAGGGGTTAATCTTTTTCAGAAGTTGACTCAATTCAGTATGCTTCTTTCTTAGAAGCCTCACCAAATTCTCCTGAAGATCTGGAACTTCATCTACTTCTCTGGTAACAAGCAGTGCTTTTCCATCCCAATTGTTTGGGCAGAGCTCTTTACACTAGTTGGAGGTCTGCACCATGCTAAATTAAGATGCTAGGTAGCATTGTGTCAGCAATTTGTCTCAGCATGCCCTGTAATATTTAAAAGTGTTCGCTGCCTGATCTTTAAGGCTGTTAAAATGGGTAACTGTTCCTTGGTTTGTGAACACTCATCTCCTCAATACCCTACCTTCTTTAAGGAAAACTAAAGTCTTTTTCTCATCTGCTATAGCTGTTATGTGAACCGCCTTCTGCAAACAGTTCCTTTCCCACCATTACACACGTTGTGCCTGCAGTTTGGCCAGTTTTCCCTGGTTCATGATAGTTTCTTTCATCTTGTTGGAGAGGAAATGGAGCTACAAGGGAGACTAGGGTAGATGCTTAGGATAAGAATAAGTGCATACTTTCTAGGACGCAAGATGGCAGCTCTCATTTTCTCTCTCTTTTTTAAGCCTACAGCACCCAGCATTCCCAGGCAGCTTCCCATCATCCAATTACTAACCAGGCCCTACCCTGATTAGCTTACGAGATCTGGGTATTCAGGGTAGTATGGCTGCAGGCATCATTTTCTTTTGAAAGTACTCCAATCAAGTTTTCATCATCATTCTAGGAAATCACTCTCAGAAAGTGGAACAATTACCTCCACTTTGATTAACCCAATCTTAGTTCTGTTCTTACTTGGCTTACCACAAGCATTTGACAGTCAAAGTAACTCACTCTTTAAAAACACTTCATTTGGCTTCTAGGGTATTTACTATCTTGGTGTTCCTACCCTTTCACTCTCCTTGACTTCTTTAAAACTTCTGACCTCTAAATGCTGGGAGTGACCCAACATGGAGTCCTTGCATTTTTCTATTTATATTCTACTGGAGACTGGAGGCCTGGTGCACAGAAATTTGTGCACTGGGGGTGGTGGTGTGTGGGTGTGTGTGTGTGTGTGTGTGTCGTCCCTCAGCCCGGCCTGTGCCCTCTCATAGTCTGGGAGCCCTCAGGGGATGTCCTACTGACCGCTTAGGCCCACTCCCTGTGCAGTCTGGCCTCTCCTTGTGGGAGGTGACCAGGCGGCCGATTGACCGGCACGCCCCCACCCCCACCCTATTGGCCCTCTGCAGCCACTGGTCCACTGGTCGCTGCTGCATGCCCCCCCCCCCCACCCCATTGCCGTCCCCTCCTTCTGCCCGCTGGCACACCCCTTGGCTAGCCTTTTGCTGCTGCTTGCTGGCCCCGCCCCCTGGTTTGTTCTGCAGTTTGGTCTATTTGCATATTATACTTTTATTACATAGGATTCCCTAAGAAGAAAAGACATGGCTTCAAATAGCCATTCTTATCCTGTATCCTTCCAAATTTCTATTTCTACCTCCAACCCCTCTGAACTCCAGACTTGTAGATCCAACTGCTTATGTGACATCTTCATCTGGATAGTCAATGAATCTTCTCAAAACTAACATACCCACACCTAAAATTAACATAAAAACAATCTTGGGCCCTGGCCACTTGAGTGGCTCAGATCATCCCCTGCACTGAGAGGTTGCTGGTTTGATTCCGAGTCAGGGCACATGCCCAAGTTGCGGGCTCAATCCCCAGTAGGGGGTGTGCAGGAGGCAGCCCATCTTTTCCCAAGCATTGATGTTTATCTCCCTCTCCTTTCTTCTAAAATCAATAAAACACATTAAAGTCCTAGCTGATTTGGCTCAGTGGATAAAGCGTCGGCCTGTGGACTGAAGGGTCCCGGGTTTGATTCCAGTCAAAAGGCACATGCCCACGTGGGTGATTCTCACTCATCATTTCATTGCCTTTTCTACCTCTCTCCCCCTCTCCCTTCCTCTCTGAAATCAATAAAAATATATTAAAAAAATCTTGGTATCTTTATCCCTAAGCCTACTCTTCCTGCAGCTTTCCACATCTCAGTATGTGGTAGCATCATTTTTCACATTGCTCAAGTCAAAAACCTTCAGATCATCCTTCACTCCTCACTTTCTCTCATATTCCACATCTAATCCATCAGCAAATTCTGGCTCTGTCACCATCATCTTTCATCTAGAATGCTCTTGTCTCCTAAGTGGCCTCACTGCACTCTGTAGTCTATTCTCAATCTTGCAGCCAAAATGATCCTTTAAAAAGGTGTACCACCCTAATTGGTTTGGCTCAGTGGATAGAGCGTTGGCCTGAGGACTGAAGGGTCCCAGGTTTGATTCTGATCAAGGGCATGTACCTTGGTTGCGGGCACATCCCCAGTGGTAAGTGTGCAGGAGGCAGCTGATTGATGTTTCCCTCTCATCGATGTTTCTAACTATCCTTCTCCCTTCCTCTGAAAAATATCAATAAAATATATTTAAAAAAAAAAAGAAAAAAAAGGTGTACCAGTCCTGGTCAGTGTTGTTCAGTTGGTAGAGCATCATCCCATGCACAAGATCAGGAGGAAAAAAAAAAGCTATGTGACAGGTATTTTTTTTTTTTTTAAATCCTCACCTAAGGAATGAGGATATTTTTCCCATGGATTTTTAGAAAGGGGGGAGGGGAGGTGCTGTAACCGGTTTGGCTCAGTGGATAGGGTGTTGGCCTGCGGACTAAAGGGTCCCAGGTTCCATTCCCGTCAAGGGCATGTACCTTGGTTGCGGGCACATCCCCAGTAGGAAGTGTGCAGGAGGCAGCTGATCGATGTTTCTCTCTCATCGATGTTTCTAATTCTCTCTCTCCCTTACTCTCCGTAAAAAATTAATAAAATATATTTAAAAAAAAAGAAAGGGGGGGGGGGATGACACACATCAATTAGTGCACTCCTGCCGCAACCACTGGGGGTTGAACCTGCAACCGTGACCAGACTGGCCATGGCAAATGGAGGAATTTTAATTTTTTGAATAGCTACATGGGACTTAGTGACGGTCTAAGTATGTAGTAGGCTCTCAAATATTTCTGAATAGATGTTAAACTGTTGTAGTGATGTGACTAGGGCGAAGAGGAGCTATATAAACTTATTTTTTTAAAACTCGGGAGAGCAACATCCTATTTTATCCCCCTGCTTCCTACCAACAGTATTTTCCAATAAACAGAGATTTGCTCATCTCAGAACTTTCTAAGGTCCAATTAGGCAAAAATTCAGGCAGCTCTAAAACTGGCAAAAGTAGAACACATAATGGTACTCATGAGATCTTTAAAAATTACAAAGTTCTCCTTACCTACTAGTAAAAGGATTCAAGAAACCAAGAAACTATTAAATAAAATAATACCACTCCAAAAGAGATGCGGGTATAAATTCTTGATATAAACCTGGCCCCAGGCAACAGATTATAACAAATCCTCAATGTCAGTAATGGCAGCTAATTATGTACTAATTCTTATGGGATGAGAACTGGTGAGACTGGCCACAAATTTAAATCATTGATCCCTGCTTTTTTAACTCAAGTGCTGAGATATATCTTGTGATCTCAACCTGTCACCAATCTAACCTAGAATGAAAGATAATAATTTAAAAATATCCTATCACATATAATAATCATATATAATAATGAGCTAATATGCTAACTAGACTGAACAGCAAAATGACCATCCAGAAGGTTGTCTGGACAAAGCCAGGGCTGTAAGGGCCAAGCTCCTTGCACGAATTTTGTGCATTGGGCCTCTAGTCCTCCTATATAAATGGGCAATATGCAAATTGACCCCAATGGCAGAATGACTGGTCGCTATGATGCGGGGGGGGGGGGGGGGGGGGGCGCGGCGGCGGGGAAGCTCAATGCAGGAACTGCCCCCTGGTGGTCAGTGCGCTTCCACAGGGGGAGCGCCACTCAGCCAGAAGCTGGCTCATGGCTGGCCAATGCAGTAGTGGCAGGAGCCTCTCCCACCTCCACAGCAGTGCTAAAGATGTCAGACTAATGGGGAGTGGGCCTAAGCTGGCAGGTGGACATCTGCAGAGGGCTCCTGGACTGAGAGAGGATGCAGGCCGGGCTGAGGGAAGCCACCCCCCACCCAGTGCATGAATTTTTGTGCACTGGGCCTCTAGTATACCAATAAAACTCTAAACATAAAGAAATCGTTTCTCTTCTAAATGGCTAAAGAACAGGTGTGCTGCCCTAGCTGGTTTGGCTCAGTGGACAGTGTCAGCCCCGGGTGCAAATCCCAGTCAGGGCACATGCCAGGGGTTGCAGGCTCAATCCCCAGTGTGGGGAGTGCAGGAGGCAGTCAATCAGTGATTCTCTCTCATCACTGATACTGATATTTCTATCTATCTCTCCCTTTCCCTTCCTCTCTGAAATCAATTAAAAAATAACACACATGTGTTTTCTTAAGCTGACTTGTCATTTAATATGATCTTTTGCAATAAACAACAAAAATACCCTACAACTGTCAAAGAAATAAACATTCATAATTTCCCAATGCTGTTTCCATACTAAAAGTAAAAATTAAATACAGGAGTAAAATCCTTACCTGCATGCAATGTATAGCCAAGCCGGGTCCTGTGTACAACTTCTTATGACATATATGGCATTTAAAATGTTTTGCTTTTTGGTGCTGTATAAGGATCTTCTCATCATCAAAATCTCTATTACAATACCTGATCAAGACTGTTAAGGCACAAAATAACACAATGACACTGCCTAGTAAAAAAAACCCTGCCCTATGATAAGCAAATAGCAATGACATTAAAATATAGAAATAGCTAAAAGCAAAAAGTTGCTTTACAGAAACTTTTTTTGATATTTATTATACAATTAGGGATTAACTTGCCATGGGATTTCCTGGAAGCCCATACTCTCTTCATCACCCCTAAACACATTTCAGCATAGTTTTTTTAATTTTTGTGTTTAACAGTTTTTATATGAAATTAACTCTTCTTTTGTTCACTATTTCAACATTTACAAATGCATAGTGTAGATTTGAGGGGTTCAATGTTAAAAAAAAATCCCCAACTTCATCTCAAGACAGATTTAGAAATAGAATTCACTCATTAGATAATTTAAAATAATGAGAAAAATGAGGATTTACCTAATGTTGATAATTTAAGTTTCTTTTTAGAGTCTAAAAATAAGTTCATAGTGAATGACACAACTTAACCCATAAAGTTGTTTGCAATTCCCTATGAACTTAAGTTGCCAAGGGACGTATTTAAACTCAATGAGTTACATCCATAAAGCAGAATTACCTCAATAGTAGTAAGATTTCCCTAAAAGGACATTACAAAATCCGTGACCGTTCAACTATTATATAAATGCAGTTCTGTAACAAACAGTTTTGAGGCATAAGAGGCCTTATTTTTATTTTTATTTTTGACCCTACAAAGCTAACTAGATACAAAAATCTCCACCCTGAAAGAGAACTCTTCTTGAAGACTAAAGGCGCCAGTTAGCGAGACGCGGAAGCTAGTTCTTCCCCCCCCACCCCACCCCCACCCCGCGCGCAAAAAAAGAAAAAAAAAGGGCGCGGGGGGGGGGGCGGGCGGGATTTGAAGTCCGAGTTGACTAAACCATCGATTCTTTAAAAATAAAAAATAAAAACACGGGGAAAAAGTGGCTGACTGGCTCCGGAAGCTTTCCCCTAATCCGCCATACCCTCAATCAAGAGTCTTTTACTTGAAGAAAATCCCTTTGTTGAATGGTCACCACAACCACGGGGTAGAGCAGCACAGCCCTTCCGGGACACCGTCCTTGACGGAGGGGTCCAGGCCGCCTCCCCGCGGGTCCACGCTCGCATCAAACCCGGAATCTCCTGAGTCACGGAGTCCAACGCCCCGCAACTGCCAGAGCCTCTCGCCCTAGAGGCCCCATTTTCCTAGAAGACTTCGCAAATCTGACTCCAGCCGCCAAGTTACCCACCCCCAGGCCTAGATCCCAGACACTCGCCGCCATAGGCCCACGCCAGGCCTCCCCGTCCCCGTCCCCACCAACCGGCGCCGCAGCGCGGCCGCGACTCCCCACTGACAAAGGATACCAGCACCACGGCTTCAGCTGCTTCTTCTTCTTGCGACCCATCGCTGCGCTCCACTGACGAAGTGAAAACGGAGGAGAAAGTAAGCAGGAAAATCGAGGCGAAAAGCGCTCACTCCTCAGACCCAACCGCCACCACCGCGTCCCACAGGAAACAGACACAAAATGGCCGACGCCCTCGCTCGCTGCTCTGCCTCCCGTCAGGCACTGCGGCAGGGGGCGGGGCCAGCCGGGGGCGGGTCACATGACACCGCCCTCCGCCCTGAGTGGGCGGGGACTCGCAGCCCGAGAGGCGACCGCCATCTTGTCTGTTTCGCTGGCCGCCTGCTGTCGCTGGCGGTGCGTGCGGAGCCCTTCGGGTTTCTTTGTAAAGGAGCCGGCTGCCTGGGTATGCCGAGAAACTCGCGAATTGAGGGAGGAATCTGGGGAAAGGGACTGAAAACATTACCCGCGTCATTAAAGGCAGACTGCAAATAAAGGCTCATTCAGACATTGCCCAGTTTTCAGTTCTGTTTTCAGTGCCCGGATTAATCCTTTCTGTAGTAAGTGTTGGGCATTTGCTTACTTCAGTGTTGAGACAAAGAAGGCGCAGCCACAGCTTGGCGACAGATGAGCGGGCCGCAGTGTGGCGAGCGCGGTGACAGGGAAACAGGAGGTGCTGCGAGGCCTCCAAAGACCCGTCCACGTGGTCGCGGTCGGTGGTCAGAAAGGTGTCCGGGCCCAACGCCGGGGGGGAGGTGTGGGTGGGGGGACGACGGGGGGCGGGGGCTGGAGGCTGAGCATCGACCTTTGAACCGGGAGGTCGCGGCTCTCGGTCAGGGGACACAGCTGGGGGTGCCCAGTGTGGAGCGTGCAGGAGGCAGCCCGTCAATGATTCGCATCGCTGATGTTTCTCTCTCTCCCTCTTCTCCTTTCCTCTGAAATCAATAAAAAAAATTTTGTTTAACCCTCCTACAAAGGCGTGTCTGTGGTTCCCTGTCTTTGGACACGTAAGAATTGGAGGCAAAGAAATGTGGACTCAGAAGTCTGGAGCCAGCTTGCTCCCTGCAGGCTCAAGGTCAACCATCCCACATAGAAAAAATAAATAAAATAAAAATAAATAAATAAATATATATATATATATATATATATATATATATATATATATATATATATTTTTTTTTTTTTTTTTTTTTTTTTTTTTTTTTTAATAAGGAAGAAAGGTTTCCTGAAGGGCCATGGGCACTAGAGCTGGAGGAGCGCGGCTCCCAGGGAGCAGCAAGCCCAGCCTCTGGGGCTGAGCACGAGCTCGGCGAGAGGGGCCCGGGGGCCGCGGGGGCCTCGGGCTTCGCGCTGGAGGCTTGGCTTCGTGCAAGTTGAAGGGAGAGGGTAGGTGGTTCAGAGTCGGGGCCACGGCCCACCTGCATGACTGAGCCAACCAGGTGAGCTCCCTCCGCTGCTCTCGGAACAGTGTGGCCCATAGACATAGCGATTAATGTAAGTTTTATGTTACTATTGAAAGGAAGACTCATACAGAGCAGACATCCCTGAAGCCCTTACTGTGTGCCAGGCATGGAGGGGAGTTGCACATGACTTGTCTCCACCAGCCTGGGGTGGAGGTGCTGTTTTATCACCCTCTTACTAGAGACAAAAAGAGGCTTAGCCCTGGTTGGTTGGCTCAGTGGATAGAGCATCGGCCTGCGGACTGAAGGGTCCCGGGTTCGATTCTGGTCAAGGGCACATGCCTGGGGTGCAAGCTCCATCCCAGTAGGGGGCGAGCAGGAGGCAGCCGATTGATGATTTATTGATATTTCTATCTCTCCCTCTCCCTTCCTCTCTGAAATCAATTATATATACACACACACCAGAAGAGGCTTACCAGAGTTGAAGTCATTTACTCAAAGTCACAGAAGTCGTAAGTATGGAGCTGAATTAGATTTGAGTTTCAGAAAAACCACTGTGGCCACTGGGTTGGCGGAGACTAAGAGGCCAGACCCAGAACCGGACAGTAATCTGGGTGAGAGAAGAAACTGACCTGAAGTAGAATAGTGGGAGCAGGAAGTCATTTATTCATTCCTCCTAATGTAAGGAAGCAAGCAAATTCATTTTAGTGCTCGGTGCTCTACCAGAAACAAAAATGAAAAACAGGTCGGGGACATGGTAAGGGTGTCTACCTACCTAGCCTCTTCTATATAACATTGTACTGGTGGTCTAGCCAGGGCAATCAGGTAAGAAAAAGAAAGAAAAGGAATCAGATTGGAATGGAAGGAGTAAAACTGAACTGGACAACCAATGGGTCGGGGCTGCCTGTCACTACTTGAGCCAGTTCAGCAGAGACAGGGATGAGTCATGTATGAGCATTTATTCCAATAATGCCAGCAGTATGGTGTTGGGGTCCAGCCCCAGCAGGTCCAGGGGTTCCCAAAGGTGTGGACAGAGTCGGCTAAGAATGAAGGACACGGAGGCAGCGTTCAGTTGATCAGCATAGGGAGGTTCTTTTGCCAGGTTCTGTCTTTATTGTCCTGTTACATCTGTATTTATACCAGTTGATTTTAATCCTATCCATTCTATTCCAAAGGTTTAGGGCATTTGTTATCTCCATTCCAAAGTCACTACTCTATTGTTCTGTTAAGCTACAAGGAAGTAACTGAAGGAGATTATCCTAAGTTATTGTTCATAGTTAAAGTGATTAATTACCCGCCTGGCACTTAGTTAAGGGGTTTTATTCCCTTCCTTAATCCCTAACTCCAGGGAAAAATCCCACCTGGTGAAACAACCTTTCTCGGAGAGGTGACCTTGGTTAAAACACATAGCGCTAAGAAGGGGAGTAACCATATTAAGAACAGTATGCCATATACCCCAGGTCCCTTGAAACATATGCTGTGCAGATGTTTCTTCCCTGCAGCGACTGTGTCAAGCAGCAAGGATGGACTGGCTTCCGGCAAATTCCCCCTTTTTTATTTTTTAAATGATAGCGCGTGTAAATCAGCGGCCACCTCTCGGATTGGGTTGTTTAAGACTCGGAAGACCTGTTTATGACTTTGCCAACAGGTCAGTCCAAGGCTTAACCCTATATCGGCTCCCCACAGTATGGGAGGGCAGCAGGTCATCCATGAAAACCTGCTCAGCTCCCCTCCATAGCCAGCTGCTTATATTGGGTAGGAGCACAGATTACATGGGGAGGAAGGCAAAAGGAATAAGAATGGGTATAATGGTTACAGGTTGCAAGCTGGGGCTTGCAATGGGCCCGTGCTCTATTCTTTACGGCTACAAAGTTGTTAATCTTTTTATGATGACAGGCAGTTCCAGGAATAGGAGGATGGACTGCATTCCCGGGTTAACTCCTACTTCCCCGGCGACAGCTCTCAGCCAGGTTGGAATGTGCTTTCTCTAACCAGAACAGCAATCACGGTTGACAGAGCAGGATTAATATTTCTGCCCCTAACAGAACCATCTCTATTCGCAGATGGCATGATCTTGTTAGGGGGAGAATTGGGTCATTGTGTCTCTCCACACACACACAAAGGAAAATTGAGTTGAAGTACTAATCTTCAGTACCGCAGAATATGACCTTATACGGTCCTATTGATTACAGAGGTGATGAAGCTAAGGTGAGGTCAATAGGGTGGACCCTATTTCATATGACTGTTGCCTTTATAAAAAGAGGAAATTTGCCCTAGTTGGTTTGGCTCAGTAGATAGAGTGTCGGACTGAAGGGTCCCAGGTTTGATTCCGGTCAAGGGCACGTGCTCAGGCTTGATCCCTAATAGGGGGCATGCAGGAGGCAGCCAGTCAATGATTCTCTCTCATCATTGATGTTTCTATTTCTCTCTCCCTCTCCCTCTCCCTTCCTCTTTGAAATCAATTAAAAATATATTTAAATAAATAAAAGAGGACATTTGCCCTAGCCAGGTTGCTCAGTGGATAGAGCACTGGCCCTCAGACTGAAGGGTCCATTCCAGTCGAGGGCACCTACTTCCGTTGTAGCCTCCAATAGCTGTGTCTCTCACATTGATGTTTCTGTCTGTCTCTCCCCCTCCCTTCCACTCTCTGAAAATCAATGGAAAAGTATCCTCAGATGAGGATTAACAAACAAACAAAAAGGAAATTTGAACACAGATAATGTATAAAAGGAAGACCACTATCTTATCAAGGAATAAACCCTGCTGACACCTTGATTTTGGACTTCTAGCCTCTAGAATTGTGAGACAATACATTTTTTTGTTGCTTAAAGTGCTCAGTCTATAGTACTTTATATGATAGCCTTAACAAACAAACACACTTGTACTTAGGAAATCCTAAGGAATCCGTAAAAAGAAATAAATCTAGAGCTACTAAGAGTTTAATAAAGTTCACAATACAAGATTAAAATACAAAATTCAATTGTACTTTTATACACTAGCAGTACACAATCTGAAAATGAAATTAAGAAAACAATTCCATTTATAATAGCTTCAAAAGAATAAAACGTAGGAATGAATTTAACAAAAGAAGTTCAAAACTAAAATATTTTAAGAAATTAAATATCTAAATAAGTGAAAACAAAACATTTGAAATTAACTGTTTGATTAAATGGCTACAAAACATAACTTTAGGTCAAGTCATCCTCAACTTAATTTTGTGGTATTAAGCGTTCTAGAGTCTGGCCAGTGTGGCTCAGTGGTTGAGCATTGACCTATGAACTGGGAGGTCACGGTTCGATTCCCAGTCAGGGCACGTGCCCAGGTTGTGGGCTCGATCCCCAGTGTGGGGCATGCAGGAGGCAGCCAATCAATGATTCTCTCATCATTTCCTCTCCCTTCCCCTCTGAAATCAATAAAAAATAAAGAGTTCTAGAGCCAGAGTATTTGGGTTTGAATGCACCTTTGCCATTTATTAGCTATTTTACCACGGACAAAAATAACTGGCTTTGGCTTACTCATCTGTAAAGTGGGATAATAATAACATCAACCTCATGGGATTGTGAGAATTACATGAGTGATGCAGGAGGCAGCCAATCAATGATTTTCTCTCATCATTGATGTTAACCCTATGACACGCGTGTTAGAGGTGACACGTGAACTCATTTTTTTGGTTGATTTTTCTTTGTTAAATGGCATTTAAATATATAAAATAAATATCAAAAATATAAGTCTTTGTTTTACTATGGTTGCAAATATCAAAAAATTTCTATATGTGACACGGCACCAGAGTTAAGATAGGGTTTTTCAAAATGCTGACACGCCGAGCTCAAAAGGTTCGCCATCACTGGTATATGTAAAGCACTTGAAAGAGTCCTCATTCACAGCAAATACTCTATAAATGTTAACCATTATTTTTCTATAAAGTTAACATGGAATGCAGGTGTGCTTTAATATCGTTAATATGGTGTAAGGGGAAACATGCAAGAAAATGATGCCAAGGGGTTGCAAAATCTTTAATTCAGCAAAGAGTTCTTGAGCACCATAGGCCATGGGCTAGGATGGAGGATATGTCATTGAATAAGCTGACATGCTAGTGGGGAGACAGACAATAAATACTGTCCGGTGTGGTAGGTGTGATGCAGATAGGATATATAGACTGATGGGATAGCAGTAGAGGTGTGTGTGGGATATCCTTTTACATAGGACAGCCAGAGAAGGTCTCTGAGGAGGTGACATTTGTGCAGAGACCTGAATGATGTAAAGAAAGAAGACAATTATCTGGGGGCATTCCAGGCAGAAGAGCAATTAAAAGACTAATAACCTGGAACAAAACTGGAGTGTCTGAGAAACACCAGAGTGAGCAAGAGGGATGGATAGGAAGTCAGAGGGGGAGGTAGAAGCTAGATTATGAAGGCTCCTGTAGGCCACACTATTGGAGCATGATTCTCAGGGTTGTTTCTAAGACCAAAGCAAGTGACTACAATATAAAAAAAACACAAAAGTTAAGCCCTAGCTCAGCGGTTCTCAACCTATGGGTTGCGACCCCTTTGGGGGTCTAATGACCCTTTCTTTTTTTTTATTGTTTTATTGCTTAAAGTATTACAAAGGGTATTACATATGTGTCCTTTTTTTTTTCTCCCCCGCCCTTGACAATCCCCTGGCCTCCCCTACCCCCCAGTGTCTATGTCCATTGGTTATGCTTATATGTCTAATGACCCTTTCACAGGGGTCACCTAAGACCGTCGGAAAACACATATATAATTACATATTGTTTTTGTGATTAATCACCATGCTTTCATTATGTTCAATTTGTAACAATGACATTGGGGGTCACCACAACATGAGGAACTGTATTAAAGGGTCGCGGCATTAGGAAGGTTGAGAACCACTGCCCTAGCTGGTTTGACTCAGTGGATAGAGCATAAGGCTGTGACCGAAGGGACCTGGGTTCAATTCTGGTCAGGGGGACATGCCCAGGTTGTGGGCTCGATCCCTGCTGTGGGGTGTGCAGGAGGCAACCGATCAATGATTCTCTCTCAATAAAATTATGAAATTATTAAAAAACAACAGATAAGAGTATGGATTTGGAAGTCAGATAAACATAGTTTGATCACTTATATTGACTGAGCCTCAGTTTCTTCATCTATAAAATAAGGATAAACTTCTCTGTTACAGAGTTGGTCCAAGTGTAAATGCAATAAAATAGACAAATATCCTGACCCCTGGTTACTGCTAAATAAATAGCAATTGTTAAACTACAAATGCTATATTGGTATTGTTATTGCTGTTGGTAGTTAATAGACCAACTTGCAGAGTCTAATGTCCTCAGATTATGCTCATAGATGGTAAAGTTCAAGAGGCCAGTAATAAGATTCCTAAGATCACCCTAGCTGTCCACAGTACTTTCTTAGCAGTCATCACATTCTGCCCTTCCCCATGTGCATGCTTTCTCTCTTCAGTTGTATTGTCAGCTTCTTTGGGACAAAAACAAATATTTGATTGTCTTTCTGTATGTGCACATATTCTAACTCATTCTTTTTAATGGTTGTATAGTCTTCTGATACAGGTGTTAGTTTGCTATTGCTGCGGTAACAAATTATCACAAATGTAGTGACTTAAAGCAACACAGTTATTACATTACAGACATTTGAAATGGGTAGGCAGGGCTGTGTTTCTTCTGAAGGATCAGAAGATCCATTGGTGGCCTTTTCTAGCTTCTAGAGCAGGGGTCCTCAAACTACGGCCCGCGGGCCACATGCAAATACAAATATTGTATTTGTTCCCGTTTTGTTTTTTTACTTCAAAATAAGATATGTGCAGTGTGCATAGGAATTTGTTCATAGGTTTTTTTTAAAACTATAGTCCGGCCCTCCAACGGTCTGAGGGACAGTGAACTGACCCCTTGTTTAAAAAGTTTGAGGACCCCTGTTCTAGAGCTTGTATGAATTCTTTGGCTTGTGGTGCCAAATCACTCCAATCTCTGCTTTAGGTATCATAACTGCCTTTTCCTCTGGTCTCCTGTCTCCCTTATAAAGATTCTTGTACATGTAGTTACATTTGGCACACTTGCATAACCTAAAATAATCTTCCCATTTCAAGATCTTTAATTTAATCCCATCTGCAAAGTTCCTTTTGCTACATAAGGTAACTCGCTTTCAGGTTTCAGAGATTAGGATGTGGTCATTTTTCGGGAGTCATTATTCTGCCTACCATCACATGTACCATAACTTATTTAATCACTCCTCTACTGACCAACATTCAGATTGTGTCTAGTTTGTCATCATTACAAGCCATGCTGCAAGGAATATGTGGACCCATATTTTTGCACTTATGTGAGTGTATCTATTTGATGATGTCCCGGTGTTTCTTTGATAGTCAAAGGGCATGTGCATTGAAAACACTGACAGATATATTCAAATTTTTCTCCAAAGCATGTGCATTAATCTTATTACTCTCAACTATTTATGGAAATGATCAAGACAATAGGCTCGGTTAACATCAAAGTTGGTCTTTGTCAGGGAAGATACTAGCCCAGGACACGACTATCTACTATAAATTGCTTTTTATTTTTATTTATTTATTTATTTATTTTTAATATATTTTATTGATTTTTTACAGAGAGGAAGGTAGAGAGATAGAGAGTCAGAAACATCGATGAGAGAGAAACATCGATCAGCTGCCTCCTGCACATATCCCACTAGGGATATGCCCGCAACCCAGGTACATGCCCTTGACCGGAATCGAACCTGGGACCCTTCAGTCCACAGGCCGACGCTCTATCCACTGAGCCAAACCGGTCTCGGCAATATAAATTGCTTTTTACTTTTACTTTAAAAAAAAACACACATATTTCTTTATTGATTTCAGAGAGGAAGGGAGGAGACAGAGATAGAAACATCAATGATGAGAGAGAATCACCGATTGGCCACCTCCCACACACCCCCCACTGGGGACCGAGCCCGCAACCCAGGCATGTGCCCCTCGCCAGAATTGAACCCGGGACCCTTCAGTCCGCAGGCCGACGCTCCATCCACTGAGCCAAGCTAGGGCTATAAACTGCTTTTTAATTGAAAAGGTTTTAATTTCAGACATCCTTTTAGGTGTCTGAGTTTAGTTTGCCAGGCAGTCCTTCCCTGCGTTAGTCAGGTTAGCATGCGGCCCCTTTTTGTCCGCAGTGTAGAAAGGCCTTCTTCAAGCATTTAAAAAATTCTCCCACCTGCTCACCTTTTCTTTTTTAAAGGGAGGAGCGTCCCTTTACATTTTGAAATCTTTGATCAAACTGATGCGTGTGTGTTGGCGTGCCTGAAAGGCGATCGGAGGGCAGCTTTATCTTTTCCATGTGTCCTGCTAGTTGTACCGTCTTTATCACATGGGAAGTCTCCTAGACGTCCTAAGGCACACAGAGGTGAAAAAGGAGTTAAAACAGAACTGGTGGACGGCTTTCGGGATACAATAGGTGATTTAGTGCGCCCCCTAGTCCCCGCGGGGAGAAGCCTTCCAGGACGGCTTCCTCACCTGAGAGCCCAGCGCCACCAGCGGAACTCAGGTGCGCGAGGGCCGGGAGCCGGACGAGCCCTGCCGCCGAGGACTGTCCGGCCGCGGGGGAGCGGTTTGGCGGGGACACAGGGCCGCTCGGAGCCGCCGCGATGCTCCCCTCCTTGCAGGACTCGCTGGATGGGGAGGAGAAGGAGCTGGAGAGCAGCGAGGAGGGCGGCTCCGCGGAGGAGCGGAGACCCGAGCCGCCGCCTAGCAGCCACTACTGCCTCTACAGCTACCGCGGAAGCAGGTGCCGCGCCCGGCCTCCCCGCGGCCCGGCCCCGGCGCTCGCAAACGCCCCTTCTCCCCTGAGGGCCCTCCTCGCCCCACGCCGTCCTTCCGGGCCCCGATCCGGGACTCCAGTGCCGGCTGCTGCGACGCCCGCGCTCCCCCCGGCCCGGCCCTGTCCTGTCCTCGCCCCTTCTCGTCGGCGCGGCCTTTGTTTAGCGCGGTGCCCCGCCTGCATGTCCAGCCATGTCAGCTTCCACCCCCGTCCTTCCTGCCGTTACCGCCCCGCTGTCTTCCATCCCTCCCCCCCCTTCCCCGTTATCCTCTGCCCGGCCGACTCTCTTGGGCTCCCGTGGCCCTTTAGCATCTGGTTTTCAGAGAGGATTTATTCCTTGGCCCTTCTGGATATGGAACTTCCTCTCCCTGATGTTGCCCGGAGAGAAGGGGCCATCAGCACTGGGTGGTGGAGTGGCCTGGGCGTGAGGACAGGCACTTCTCCCTGGCAGCGTGTCAGCTGACCGCTCGCCCCTCCCCTGCTTGCTGAGTGGGGGGGCGCCCCGAGTTCCGTTTGAGTTGGAGCCCTTCATGATAGCTGTCTTGCTTTTGTGGCGCGTAGGTCGGCACCACCGAGAGGGGACAGCGATGACGGAAGCCCAAGTGGCACAAATGCAGACACGCCCTCTGGTGACGACTTCAGGTAAAAACAGCTTGGCCTTCGCTCCTGCCTGTGCGTGAATCCTCGAGGTGTCCGTGGGACCCTGTCTCCACTCAGCTGTCCCTGAGCTCAACCATCAAGCCCACCTGTGTCCTCGGAACCTCACCTTGATTTCCGCATTGGCTCATGCATTCAAGGCTGGGACAGCGCCAAACACCCATAGTGCCCAAGGTGGTTAGCCAGAGACAGGTATTCTGAGTTTCTTGAAAGGAACTCCAGTAAATGGTCAACATCGCATGGGTACCAAAACATTTAAAATCCTCCTTTTTTACCCTTAGCATACCCCCTTTCATAGCGCCTCTGCTGCACACTAAAACATAAACCCCAGGACAGGAGGGATTGCTCTCTTTTGTTCATTTAATACATATTTATTAAGTGAATGAATGAATGAATGAACCTTGACACTTGATGCAAAGTAGAGATACCCTGTGATAAATTTATGATTGAAATGATATGATATGATGCCAGAGACTTGCTTCAAAATAAGTCTGGAAGGTGGAAGGGTACAGACAAGCATGGGGGTACAGATGACACAAAATTGGCCATGCCTGGCTGGTGTGGTTCAGTGGTTGAGTGTTGACCCATGAACCAAGAGGTCCCCAGTTCGATTCCGGCTCAGAGCACGTGCCTGGATTGCAGGCTTGATCCCTGGTGGGGGGCATGCAGGAGGCAGCCAATGGATGTGTCTCTCTCATCAATGTTTTTATCTCTATCCCTCTGCCTCTCTCTCTCTAAAAAAAAAAAAAAAAAAAATGGCCATAAGCTGATAATTGTTAAAACTGGGTGGTAGGTATATGTGAGTTCATTATACTATTCTCCCTACTTTGTATATGTATTTTCCATAATATAAAACAAAAGAACCTTGAGAAGTATTGGGTTCATATTATCTGTTGGGAAGTTTGGTGATAGAAGACCTTTTCTTCCTGCATCTTCAAATTATAGACTTTATATCCTAACCTAAACCAAACTAAAATTTTTATTTTTAGCTCCTGAGCGATTGCTAAGCTAGAGTGTTTATTCACGGGTAAGAGGTAGATGGAGGATTGAGGAAAAAAGAGGAGGCGTGAAATAGTGACCTAGGGAGTAGAAAGATGAATGAGTGAGCCAGGAAATGTAGTTAGAGCTGGGCCCACTTGAGGCTAGTGATCATTAATTTTGTTTTGTCCAACTAGATTCCACTGCATAGATGCATGTGCAGAGTAAATAGAGAGCTGGACTATCAGGGCTGAAGTTTTGCTAAGCAAGTACAGTGAGATGAAAATAAAGGGTTGAATGAGACTTGTGTGCAGGGGTCTGATTATAATGACTGGCCATGGACAGGGAAGTGAGATAAGAACTTGAGGGACTATGGAATAAAGGTAAGGCTGGTGGACTGGGGGGTCCCAATGGAGTCATCACACTAGACAGAATGAGGTGAAAGATAGTATAATTTTAAATTCTTTGATGAGGTAGCTCATACTTGGTGACTGACACGCACTCCTATCAGCCTCACTAGTAGTCAAAGTTTTTCCAAGTCCTTAAAGGGACTCTGGCTTTTAGTACTAATCTGTCTGACTTGCAGGGTGTGAATGCAGTAGGCCACTGATAAGCACTGTGTGTCTTTCATTTGTCAAGCCTCTCCCTGGCGGACACTAATCTACCATCTGAAGTGGAGCCAGAGCTGCGCAGTTTCATAGCTAAGCGTCTTTCTAAGGGAGCCGTCTTTGAAGGGCTGGGTAATGTTGCATCTGTGGAGCTGAGGTAAGTGTAAAATGTGCTGTGTCCCGAGTTTTTATTTCTGAGCTAAATATGAGAAGTGATGAGAAACTCCGAAAGATCAACTCCCACTCGACCTGCAAAATCCATCCTTGTTCTCTGCCTGCTTGAGCACTGGGCCTCACACGTAAACATTTGTGGGATGGAATTAATTCAACAGCAGAGACTTTCCCGCCGAAGTGTACTGATTTAGTCTTGGACTTGGGAGAAAAGAGTTAATCACAAAACCCAAGTTGCACACTGTACAGTTTGTGAAGTGCTTTCACAAAGTATGATGCCATTGTCTCTACAAAGGGGCAATAGAGCAGATACCCTTACTTACATTTTCAGATGAGGAAATAAATTCAGAGACGTTCATGTCACAAGGCTGGTCACATTCATGGCGTTCAGGTGTGAATATAGGTGTCCTCAGTTGAATTCCAGCCGTCTTTCTATTACACACCTCGATTGTAGTTCACTTCAGACCATGATGTTGGCATCAAGTCCCCTCAAGAATGTGAGGCCACAGGTCAAAGATAAGGCCACAGGGTAAACATGTCGCATCTGCCTGGAGCTCCAGTGATTCGTGAAGGTTTGGGGGAGGGAGAGAACATGCTAATATTTATGTAGACATGTACTATGAACGAGAGTGAAACTTGCATGCATTTTCCCCATAAAACAGGTGAATTCAAAGAAATTCCATGTTTGTTAGGTGCTGCTTTAGCTGAAACCCATTATGGTATACATTCATTTTCCTCTGCTGTTATGAGTAAACCAAGGAGAAGTCTTAAAAGTTCTGACCTAGTTAGCAATATAACAGTATTGCCAGATCAAGATGACCAGGGTTCAGAACAGCCCATAAAATTAGATGCATGAGTTATCAGAATAATACATAGAACTTTTTTCTTTCTTTTCTAGAATTCCAGGTTACCGGGTTGGTTGTTACTACTGCCTTTTCCAACAAGAAAAACTGCTTCCTGAATCAGCAATGGACTCTGAACATAACCCTTCAGAGTACGTGGTCTGTTTTTTAGGAGGGTCTGAAAAAGGACTTGAGCTATATCCTTTCTTTGGTCTTTGAGGATATCAGGAAGGAAATCGTGGGGAGGCAAGAGAAGGGGTCTTACTCCTCTAAAAGGCTTTCCTACCCCTTATATTTACTTGGATTTCATATCTTTATATGACCAGTTTGTCTTGGCTTGTTTTTAATGTACAGTTTGTGTTATTTGCAAGACTTTATATTTCCTATTGAGAGATAAAACACTTCTTGATTCATCCATTGTTACTTCCTTAAGAACATACTTTCAGGCTTGAATTGGACAAGTACATTCAAGGGCTGAAAAATAACATGAGCTGTGAGGTAAGGTGATTGAGTCAATAGTTTTTTTGAGACTGAGGTGATTAACATACTATAACTTCTGTACTTGTCAAATTATACAGGTAGACCAATGACACCTAAATTCTAAAAATGCGCTGCTTGGAGGGCTAGTTGGAAGGTATTTGTTAAGGGAAGAAGGAACATAGTCCTATAAGGGCTGTAAGTTTCACAAGTCTGCTTCTGATGTTTTGTATCCATAAAAAATTCAGTCCATTAAATTCAATGGTATATGGTGACATGTCAAGTGAGGAAGAGGTGCTCTTCTGATTTCTAGGCACATAAGATTTATACTAGTATTATGGTCAGAACTAATGGTCCATGAAGCCTCTGGCACCTTTGCAATGACGTACTTTGCAATGGTAGCGACTGTCCTTGAACTCAACATCAAAGATTTTTAGAAATGTTCTATTTTTCGTTCATTGATCTTTTATGAATTATATATATCCACATCTATTAATTTATTTATACCTTTTAAAAACGATCCATTCAGCTTATAGCAGTTTTTAAAGTCATAACCCTTATAAATTCACTACCCATTACATAAGGTAATATCTCCTTTTACTTATCCTGCACTTAAAAGACACTGCAGAAAAGGGTAGCATAGGAGTGAGCCAGGGATTTGAGTCTGGGGGAGCTGCTCTCCGACTGGAGCAATTCCTCTAGTCCCCAGAGAGCAGCTCAGCCCAGGAAGCCAGATGTGCACTTGGCAGCACGTTTGACAAATGGAGTGGGATCGAGTGTTTTGACAAGTTAACTTGTATTCTTCCCTATTCACAGTGTGAATGAACTGCCTACATTCCTTCAGGCATTCAAGTGGCTCTTTGTAAGCTAGTACATACATGTGTCAGACACTGTACCAGGATTGTTAGGAGCGTATCTCCAATGAGTATACTGTGGGGAGCTGGACATGTAATGCACAACTCCTCCCAGTGAAGAGATAGCATAGAGCCCTATCCAGTCTTTCATTTTTTTTTTCAGACTTTGATTTTATATAATGCATTTCTCAGTATTTTATATATCATAATTCCTTTTTTTTGAATGGGTGTTAGCTTAAAAAAAGAGGTGTTTGTCCGCAGTTCTTTCACTGTCAAGAATATCGTGAAGAAAATGTTAAGTCCACTAAGGTAAAGGCTATGTTAAAGCAATGACGTTCTCTCTTGATCTAGGAAAGGGGCCTGGAGAACCACGTAAAGTCCTACCTGAGTAGCTGGTTTGAGGATGTCGTGTGCCCGATCCAGAGGGTGGTTCTTCTCTTTCAGGAGCAGCTTACCTTTTTGCTACACGCTGTAAGTGTGGCCCAACGAAACCATTTCCTTAACTGAGAACCAGTTGAGCAGAGTTTGGATTATTTAAAGACTTACTCATTTTCTTTAATATTACTCCCCCCCCAAATATTACTCAAGCAATGCTTGCACTCTATTCACTTGGATCTAGAAAGGGACTTTATTAAGGTGGAATTGCAAATAGTGGGTCTTCCTAATAGGATAAAACAATTTAAAATAATTTTTCAGATGATCTGGGAGAGGTGTAATTTCCAAATAATTTGAGAAGGAAAACAGAAATCCAAAGTGTTTTAACTATATGAAAATATTCAGGAAAAAAATGAAAATTCACTAAAATATCCAGACACTGGGAAGGCTTGAGTAAATGGCCAGTTTTTTCATTGAAATTTGTGATGGCAGATGCAACAGAGACTGGATGGTCCCATGCGACCAGGTGGGAAAGCCAGTTTCAGACTGTTAGTGAGCAGCAGCTGCACGAGGCTCAGGAGAGCTCCTGGGCAATACCCATCAACAGGTGGTCGTTTGGGGGAAGGTGACACCTAGTCACAAGTAGTTGCTCATAAGGAAAACTGGAATACCTGTATCAATTAGGCTTTATTTTTCTCTCGTAGGCTCTGAGTTATACTCCTGTTGAGGTTAAAGAATCAGATGAAAAAACAAAGAGAGACATTAACAGGTAAAGAATAGTTTTGCAAAGAGAAGAAACTTTTACACAGCAAGCCTGATATTTATGTTTTTATATTTTTATTTTTTATTTTTTTTTAAAAGAACATTAAAATATTTGTTTGATTGATGTTAGAGAGAAACATCAATTTGTTGTTCCACTTATTTATGCATTCATTGGTTGCTTCTTGTACATGCCCTGCCTGGGGATCGAACCCGCAACCTTGGGATGACGCTCCAACTGAGCTACCTGGCCAGGGCCTGATATGTTTTTAAATTTCCCATAGTTCAGAATGAATTTGCTTTCTCCATCCCATCCTGCAATATTGTTTGTGGTAAAGGACTGTGTGTGTGGCAGGTTTCTGAGTGTGGCCAGTCTTCAAGGCCTTATTCACGAAGGCACCATGACATCTTTGTGCATGGCCATGACGGAGGAGCAGCATAAGTCTGTGGTCATTGACTGCAGTAGTTCCCAGCCTCAGTTCTACAACGCAGGTGAGTCACGACCTCTGAAGCAGCCATTCCGTGGCTCCTGTGAGTCTGTCTCTGTTTTTGTACTCTGAACAAATAGTACAAACTTATCCTTCCTGCCCTGTGCATCTTTACAAGTTTATCCTGACTCATCGCAAACAATAGCCATTCTAAAAACATGGAAAATCATGTCATGCCTAGCAATTCCATTCCTAAGTATATAGAAAAACTCTGTGTGTATATATATTAATATATTTTTATTGATTTCAGAGAGGACAGGAGAGGGAGAGATAGAAATACCAATGATGAGAGAGAATCATTGATTAGTTGCCCCCTGCATGGCCTCCACCAGATATGTGCCCTGACTGGGAGTTGAACGTGACCTCTAGGTTCATAGTTCGATACTTAACCACTGAGCCATGCCGGTTGGGCAAAAACTCTTGTATATTTATACAAGGAGACAAATACAAAAATGTTCATAAAGGCATTGTTTGAAATAGCAAAGAATTGGAGGCAACTGAAATGCTTCCATTGACAGGAAAATTATCTGATAAACTGCTATATTCATGCAATGGAATATACCAGTGAAAATGTATGAACTAGAGCTACATGTCTCCATATAGCTCAAACATACTAGTGAAACAGCCATTAAAGAAAAATACATAGTAAATTTAAAGGGTGTATTAAAGTTATCATTTATCATAATGTGAATCTTAAATCTTAATTAAACTATTTTCCTTTCAATATGAAAAAAAGAAAAATACATAGACTGGGTGGAGGGGTCAGTGGGGGATTAGGGGACATCTGTAATATTGTCCACAATAAAAAAATTAAGGAAAAATACATAAAAGTTTTGACATACACAAAATAATACTATATAGAGCTTAGAGATACAAAAGTACGTGACAAGAGTTTAAAGGAATACATGGGAATGATATCCTTTCTAATGGGAAAGAAGGGGGAATGCAGTTGAGAAGTAGCACATGGGGGCTTCAGCTATTTTGGTGTTCTTAGCTAGGTAGTACAGTTTTCTTAGACCATTATAGAAGTCTTATATAATTCATTATAAGTGTGTTATTTAATAAAGAAATAAAGAATATCACCATGTATACAAATATCAAATCATTATGTTGTACACTTGAAACTAATATAATGTTATATGCCATGTATACCTCAATTTAAAGTAAATAAATAGAGCCCGGCCAGTGTTGTTCAATGGCTGAGTGTTGACCTATGAACCAGGAGGTCATGGTTTGATTCCAGGTAGGGCATGTGCCTGGGCTGCATGGCTTGATCCCCAGTACGAGGCATGCAGAAAGCAGTCAAGGGAAATTCTCTCTCATTCTCTCCCTTCCTCTCTCTGAAATCAATAAACCCCACCTAAGTTAAAAAAAAAATACAATAAAAAATTTTAAAAACCCATATTTTAAAGTAAATAAACAGAAAGAAAAAAGAATAAATGTTTGGGCTTTATAGAATTTCATTTTTATTTAATTTTTCTAAAATATTTTATAGGAAGCAACCGATTTTGTGAGGATTGGATGCAGGCTTTTTTGAATGGTGCTGAAGGAGGTAACCCTTTTCTTTTTCGACAAGTACTGGAGAACTTTAAACTAAAGGTAATTAATTGTGTGCCAACCGCCACATATAACTTTTGTCTGAATTTTATTTTTTTTTTATTTTTATTTATTTATTTATTTATTTATTTATTTATTTATTTTTTTAATTAAATCTTTATTGTTCAGATTATTACATTTGTTCCTCTTTTTTTTCCCCCCATAACTCCCCTCCTCCCAGTTCCCGCCCCACCCTCCGCCCTCACTCCCCACCCACTGTCCTCATCCATAGGTGCACGATTTTTGTCCAGTCTCTTCCCGAATCTCCCACACCCCTTTCCCCCCCAGGTATAGTCAGTCCATTCCCTTTCTATGTCCCTGATTCTATTATAATCAACAGTTTATTCTGTTCATCAGATTATTTATTCACTTGATTCTTAGATTCACTTGTTGATAGATGCATATTTGTTGTTCATAATTTGTATCTTTACCTTTTTCTTCCTCTTCCCCTTCTTAAAGGATACCTTTCAGCATTTCATATAATCCTGGTTTGGTGGTGATGAACTCCTTTAGCTTTTCCTTATCTGTGAAGCTCTTTATCTGACCTTCAATTCTGAATGATAGCTTTGCTGGATAAAGTAATCTTGGTTGTAGGTTCTTGGTATTCATCACTTTGAATATTTCTTGCCACTCCCTTCTGGCCTGCAAAGTTTCTGTTGAGAAATCAGCTGACAGTCGTATGGGTATTCCCTTGTAGGTAACTGAGTTTCTTTCTCTTGCTGTTTTTAAGATTCTCTCTTTATCTTTTGCTCTTGGCATTTTAATTATGATGTGTCTTGGTGTGGTCCTCTTTGGATTCCTTTTGTTTGGGGTTCTCTGCGCTTCTTGGACCTGTAAGTCCATTTCTTTCACCAGGTGGGGGAAGTTTTCTGTCATTATTTCTTCAAATAGGTTTTCAATATCTTGCTCTCTCTCATCTTCTGGCACCCCTATAATTCTGATGTTGGTACGCTTGAAGCTGTCCCAGAGGCTCCTTACACTATCCTCGCATTTTTGGATTCTTTTTTCATTTTGCTTTTCCGGTTGGGTGTTTTTTGCTTCCTCGCATTTCAAATCATTGACTTGATTCTTGCGCTCCTCTGGTCTGCTGTCGGGAGTCTGTATAATATTCGTTATTTCAGTCCGTGTATGCTTAATTTCTAGTTGGTTCCCCAATATAAGATCGAGGGTCTTATTAGTTTTCTTGTAGATCTCATTAAGTTTATCGACGGCTTCTAAACAGTTCTTGAGAGACCTTAAAAGTGTGGTTCTGAACTCTATATCTTCCATTGACAATTTTGTCCTGTTTCTTTGTCTCCGCATTTTGTTATGCTTCCTTGGTGCACCCCCTAGTGGTCTTTGTTCACAGTCTTATAGTTAAATCTTGATTGTTGTAGCTAATTCCAGGGAGGGTTTGACCTCCAGGCCAAGTGGCTATGAGAATCAGCTGTGTCAGCAGTGAGAGAACTTCTGTCCTCTAGGGAGGTGCTAATCTGGCGTTTGCCTGAGGCTATCCGGCAAATGCCTGTGTGCAGGGCTTGGGCGGGGCGGGTCGCACAGGATCAACAGGGTGGGCCAGAGAGAGCAGTTATGGCGGCTCTCAGTCCTGTCCCCAGGGGCTCTGCCTCTCTGAGTCCCAGCACCCGCTGCAAAGCTCAGAGAGAAAGCTGCACTCGCTCTGACCGAAGCCAGACAGTCCCGCTTCTCCCGTTTGAGTCTGGGTCCCTAAAGACTCGCCCGGATCTGGAGCTCAGAGTCTGTGACTCCCTCCCGATTGAAAACGCCAACCGCGCCCTCCGCCGCCAGCCCGCTCCGCGCACTCCGCACCTCAGAATTTGACTTCAGCACTGCGCCTCCTCTGAGTGTCCGTATGCGTTTCTCTTTCCTCCTAGTTGTAGGACTTCCACTCAGGCAGCGTTCCTGTGGTTCTGGGTGATGTCCCTTCCGTTTTTTGGTTTCACTTTTGAAGTAGTTGTTCAAAGCAGCAAACTCCAGCGTTAACCTATGCCGCCATCTTGGTTCTCTCCCCTGAATTTTAATTAGGTCCAGTGACAGAGGAACAAATCTACTTTCTAGCTATGATGTCTATTAAATAGGACCTTCTCAAAACTAGAATCTTCAGAAGGCATTTACTTTATTTATGTTTTCAGTGGCTTCTACATACATATCATTGCATTTCCAGTTAATTGGGTTGAATGCTTGCTTATATCTCAGTTATTATCAACCTTATAATTTGTGACATATCTTAGTTGGAAAGCACAAAAAAAGTGGCTTAGTGCCTAAGGGTTCAAAATTCTTGTTGGGAGGAGTGTTGTCACCTTTTAAAAGTATTTTTAGAAGATTTAAAAACTATTTTTACTTTATACTAGTATAAGATTTTGTTGTACAGCATATTAGTGATAACAATGATGGGAATATTTAAAATAAAAAGTAAACATCTCTGCAACATATGAAATGTTTTCAGCTGGATGGATATGAAGTGTTTTTAGGCATCATTTTTATCTCACGAAACACATATTTAACTGGGTAATCTTTTTCTAGGCCATACAAGACACAAATAATTTGAAGAGATTTATCCGACAGGCAGAAATGAATCATTATGCTTTGTTTAAATGTTACATGTTCCTAAAGAACTGTGGTAGTGGAGATATCCTTTTGAAGATCGTTAAAGTGGAACATGAAGAAATGCCCGAAACCAAAAATGTGGTAGCCGTCCTTGAAGAATTTATGAAAGAAGCTCCTGCCCAAAGTTTTTGAGCGCATTTTGAGAGAACTGGATTGTGAAGCATATTCCAGCGTTGGTGTTTGAAATTACAGTTGTTATAAATTGTCATAGGATTGCTATTTAAGATGATTTGAAACGCATTGTGTTTTTTCATTTTGTATTTTTAAAATTTAACATAATTTGACATGAAAATCTGAGGAATGTCTTCATTGAATCCTAGATAGATGTGTGTTGAGAGTTGTGAACTTTTAGTACATTGCTGGTCCCATAAATTCTAGACTTCAGGGAGTTGTTGCTTAAAAAACGTCAGAGGTGATTTTGTGCTTCTCTCGGGAGTGTGCTGCAGTATTTAGCAACCTTTGCTCTCAGAAAAATCATAATACTTCTTTCTCAAAATGTACTCCTCGTCTTAGGACAGATTAGCACCATGACCCTGTTTCAAAGAGATCTGTGCATTCTATGGGTGCTTGGTAGTTTTTTGTCTGATTGATAATGGCATGGACGATGAAGCTAGCTTTTAAGTCGATATGCAAATAAATCTTAAGTGTGTAAAAAATTAAACGAACTTTAAAAACTGATGCACTAGCTTCAAGATCAAACATTATCTCTGATGGAAAGCTACTGGAGAGGTGGCCCCCATCACTTTTCTTCATTTGTTCACAGGTATTAGCCAAGAGCCTGTATTTTCTTTTTTCTTACATATGAAAATGCTGAAGTTTTTAAACAGAGTTTAAATAATTTGAAGAGATTTATCCGACAGGCAGAAATGAATCATTATGCTTTGTTTAAATGTTACATGTTCCTAAAGAATACATTTTACATGCAAACTATAACATAAAGAACACAGATTCTTCATATCAGAGTTACCCACTGATTTTTAGTTTTTTGTAGTTTGTTTTCAAGCCTCATTGTTTTACTCTGAATCAGTTAAAAATGCCCTCAGCTAAAAACGCTTCTAATTCCCGTGGAAGCCAATTGTAGCTACACACATTGCCCTTTGTTCTGTGTAGCTCTTTAATAAATCCATTTGATAATGATTTTTGTTTAGATGATCGGAAGTCTTGTGTTCTCACTGCCCTCAGGATGCTTGGAGGGACACAAGTTCGTAAAAATTGTCTCCTAAACTCATATAAATTCACATTAAGTGCTGAGTGTTAACTTTCAAAATGACTGACATTGGCCTGCTTTGTCTTCTACAGAAGTCGAGGGACATGACTCACCCAGCCATTTCTTTTCCTTTAATGAGAAATACAATTCAGGATCTTCATAAAGGCTTTCATATGGTTTTAAACTTTAATAACTTGGATTGTAGGCAGTGCAGAAAAAAAAAAATCCAAGTAGCATTTTTATAGCATTAAATTCAGAGTGACTATGGGAAGTAAGCAATTTTATGGCACTTCCCTGGAACCCAACTTATTCTAATGTACTTGGTTGTCCACTTGGAAATTATCAACATTTTGAGTCTGGAAAACATTTTTCATTTTCAAATTCACGTCATTCAAGAATTCATGCTGTAGATGGCATTTAAAAGTAAATGTATTGTCTGCTTCAAGTCATTTAAGAATAGCCAAGGTATAAGTATATATTCTTTATATTACTTTTTTGTTGTTGTTAATTCTCACCCGAGGTTTTTTTTCCCATTGATTTCTACAGACAGTGGAAGGAAGGAAAGGAGGGAGGGGGAGAGGGAGACAAACATCAATGTGAGAAACATTAAGATGATTTGTGTCTCCTGCACATGCCCCAGAACTGGGGATTGAACCTGCAACCCAGGGACCTGCCTTTGACCAGGAATCGAATCTGCGACCCTTTTTTTTTGGCTCTAACCACTGAGCACACTGGCCCAGGGCTATATGTACTTTTATATATAATTTGTGATGTGGGCTCACTACATCACACAGTTGTATACAATAGTCTTATTTTAAACGTCTGTAACAAACTGTATATCACTACTGTAGACAAGGAAAATGGTGACATAGAATTGAATGTCTTGTTGGCCATGAAAAGAAACTCAAAGAACTCATGACCAGAAATCTGTACTGTATTCAAATCTTAATAAGCTAATGTATTAATTTTTAAAGTTTTAAAAAGGATTTGTTCAGGATGGAATACATTTATGTATTATTTGTGTGCCACATACACACAGGAAATGTATGTCGTATCAAAAATGGTTTCAGTTTATCTGTAATTATTTTTTTCTTTCTTTTTCTGTTGTAATTATATTTGTAATAATAATAATAATAATAATAATAATAAAACAACTTCTCACCAACATAGTCATTTTTATTTAATGAGCTCGATTCTCTCAGGCCTGACATTTTTATTAACTCACAAAAAGTTTATGGGGAAATTATAATTGTTATGCTAAGGAATTGGTTGAAGAAAATTGAATCATCTGCTGGAACACATCTTTCTGCATCTTGCAAGAGGCATCAGGCAGGGCGTAAGGAATTTCCATGCAATATTATACTCACCGTCCAATAGCGTCACCTGTAGAACTCCATCACCCAGGCCACTTCCCTTTCCTCTCATTCATTATTCACCCTGACAGGTGCCTGTCCTTTACCAGAGGATCCCTTAGACCAGATGCCAGAAAAGCCTGTAGGCATCTGGAAAATGAGATTCGGTGACTAGGACTACACTTTCCTAACCATATCTTCTCGGTAACGAAAGCCCTGCTGGCTTCCTCAAAGTCTTGGAGGCCTAGGAAGGCAGCTCCAGTCCTGTAAGGGCTAAACTTCCTAAATAGGACCCTCAGACTTTAAATTTTTGAGTTGGCGTAATGCTAGATTCTGGAAATTGGGGAAGGGGGGTGATCGGGAGCAGTCATGAATTGACAGCTGTGGATTTTCTTGTAAACTATTGGAAGAGGGAGGTTCTGTTTGAACACTGAGTGTATATTCCAAGGTTCACTGCTGTTCCTGGATGGCCCTGATACAGAGACAACCTTGACACAAACACCCCGACTCTTCTACACGTTTAGTGTGGAAGTCTTATGAGCACCGGAGGGCTGAGAGCGCGAGTTCTACAACCAGGCAGTTCTGGGTATGAATGCAGCCAGGCCACATGCTACTAAATTTCCCTGTCTTTCCCTCATGTGTAACTATGGGGACATTTATATCCATGTCACATCAAGGAGCTGTGCAATGAAAGAGAATGATATATTGAAAATGTTTCATCCAGTGCCTAGCACCTAGTACCGTACCCAGTAAATTGTGTTCATATTAGCAGCAAACGTTAAGTTATTGGAAGAAGGAGAATCTGGCAGAAGGAGGAACGAGGGAAGTGAGAGGAGGCAAGAGGCAAAGCTAACTAGACAGCTTTGGTCTGTCCAGGGAGCTGGCTTTTAAATGCCTCAGGTGTGGGAGCCCAGAACTGACCCAGGGGAACACTGGTGCTCACACAGGGTCCCAACTTCCCTTACAGAGAAGTCAGTTCACACTCCAAACAGAAGTGGGTTCTTAGACCTTAGGCCTGAACGGTATTCTACAGTTTGTTCTGGGATGACCTCAGCAGCATTTAGAAATATTTTTAAATGACACACAGGAAACTGTTGGGAAAGAGCATTACGGGAAACTCCCATGATGAATTGAACAGGGTACTTTCATCCTCAAACAAAATTTAACAGTTATGAATAGCAAACCACATGCACTGCCAATGGCTTAGAAAAACGGGGGGAAACCTTCACTTTCTTAGGCTGCATCCATGCAAAGCCCACTTGGTCCTTAAACTTACCAAGCACAGACGTTACCTTTACATGTAGCCTCTTATTTTTCCCTTGGTGAATTGGGAAGTTTCCCTTTTACTCTGAGAACATTCCTATCCCTTCCAAAAGATCAGGGTGTCCACAGTCCTCAAAAAGACCTAAAGACCAGGCTACTAGGGAAAGAAGGAAATACCTAAGAAATTTCAAAGAAGATTCTTCCAATAATATTAGTCAAAATATTAATCTCTCATCAGAGTATAGAGTAAGAGTGGAAGGGGAAGGCGGGGCACCCACACAAACCTGGCACAGAAGTTCTTGACCCGAAGCCATGCATCGGTTTCCTTATACACAGCCAGCCCCACCCAAATTGTACACAGGATTGTCTATCTGTGGCCCAACCAGTGTGGATCGGTGGTTGAGCTTCACTCTATGAAGCAGGAGGTCACGGTTCAATTCCCCTGTCAGGGTTGCAGGCTCGATCCCCGATCCCCGGTGTGGGGCGTGCAGGAGGCATCTGATCGATGATTTCCTCTCACCATTGATGTTTCTATCTCTCTTCCCTCTCCCTTCCTCTCTCTGAAATAAATAAAAATATTTTAAAAAATTGTCCGTCTGTGCTATTTTTATGGAAAGAAAAATCATAGCTTTCATCAACTGCTCAAAGAGAGTTGAGTAATTCAAGAAAGGTTAAGAACCACCAAGCCAGAAACCCCAGCACCAAGAAACAATCCCCATCTGTATTATATAAATCACAGACCCACCACCATGGCTGCCCTCCCTCCCCCGCTCCCCCTGGCCGCACGCCATGACCCAGGCCGAGATGAAACAGGCCAGGCCCTTCAGGTCACTTTCTGAATAACGGATGGCTTAAAAAAAAAATCTTTAATGGAATCTGTGGTCAAATAATATGTTACAACAAAAATATACAGAATGTACACAATACAAAAATATTTAGAAACAAGCATTGCTGCTTGGTTTTTTTGTTTTCCACTTACTCACTTCCTTGGGGGGTGGGAGGGCAGAGTTCAGCGTTGGGCACTGTTTTTAAGGCAGAGGAGTATCCGTGCTTTCCAGCCAGCCCTGGGAGCAACGCGACCCACCGGTGCCAGGAAAGGGCTTCGGGCACCTGGGGAACCTGCATTATTTGCAGATGAAATTGGACGCTGGGGAAAGGCTGGGCATGGCGAGCAACGACTCTCCTAATCCCCCGGGCAAGAGTAGTTCTCATGGAAATTGAGAGTCAGATTACGCCTCATTAGGGAGCTTTTCCTAATTAAAAAACGAATGATTAATGGTGTCATTAAAGCGAAATTTCTCCTTTGAAGGTTTGTTTTCCTTTCCCCAGCTTCTGTGATTCCTCTTCCGTTTAACGAGTGAGTGAGTCCGTGGCTGCTGTTTAGAGAGTCCCCAGGTTCCAATTTCTGCATCATGCAGATGAAAACCCGACTTCGCTCCATGGCCTGAAGGTCCACACCACCCTCACTTTTCGGCGCACTGGCCAGGAGGCCAACAGCGGATGAGGAAGGAGGGAGGATGGGGACGTGCTGCTGGCAGGGTGCTGGGAGCCAGGGAGCAAAGGGACCTGCTGAGGAGAAAGCCCTACACCAAAATGAAACCTTTCTCACTAGAAAACAGGCTCTGGCCCTGGGTTAGAGACCTGGGCAGTGGGAAGTGACGGCCATCACCAGCGGATGGCCCTGCTTAGAAGTGATGGCTGGGAGAGGCTGGTGAGATGGCTGTTAAGCAGACCAGAGAACTTCTGAGTTGCCCTTGGACACTCAGCGGACAGGGAGCAGCTGACACGCAGCTGGGCTGGGTGAGGATGGGGCAATCTGAGCCGCTCCAGGCCTCAGAGGACAGACATACAGGATGGTGGGTGGGACTCCCACCTTGGGCAGTCCTCCCGAACAGCTTCCATCCTAAGCCCCAGGGAACTGGATGCCTCTCAGAGGGCTTTCTAGAGAGAGGAAGGCCCCTCTCCAACCCACACCAGACAAAGGCAGGGGGAGGGGTAGCTCTCTGCTCCCTCAAACTACAGCCCAGAACCTCCAGGGGCCAGGAGAGGGTCTGGCAGAGAGCCCTGCTCCCAGCCCCCAGCAGGGCGACAGCTGCTTCTGCCGCTCCAGGGAGGGTCAGCCCCAGGCACGCAGGGTTAGCAGTAGCCACGGCCCCCTCTGCCATCCTCACCCCCCGCCCCAGCTCAGTCTCCTCTCCCAAAGAGCTGACTCTTCCAGCTACACCTTTCCCTCGGGAGGCAGAGAATGGCTGGCAGGGCACAGAGAAGGTGCCTCAGGGCAACGCAGCCCAGCGCAGACCTGGCCCACCTACCTCAGCGGGCAGAGTTGGCGCAAGTGCAGCCTGAGCTTCTGTGCCATATGGACAGTCTAGTTAGCAGTGGGCAAAGGCGGGGAAGGGCTGGGTGTGGGGGACTGGGCAGAAAGACCTTGCCCATTTGTGTGTGATGACTGGGGATGGAAGCCACTGTGGCCCAAGACGCCCAAACGTCCGGCCCGGCTGACTTCGAACCTCGGTGTGGCTCTCATGGGCAAGTGGCTGGCAGAGGCAGTCCCTGCACTCCTGCCCTTGTTCCTGCATGAACCCAGCCCTGGGTTCTTCCTCCTTCGGGGCTGTCAGTGGTTGGGAGTCGCAAGAGCGGTATAAAGGGAATGCCATTTTGTCAAAAGCCACCCTCCCACCCTCCCGGGGGCCTGTACCAGCTCCCGCCAGGAGGCCATTCCCTTGTGAAATGGGCGGGGGATGGACTCGAACACCTCCCGGCTCCCTCCTCACTCTGAGAACCTGAGCTACGGCTGCCTCACCTCTGACACGCATCCACACCCCAACAATTCTTCTCTAGAAGCACGTCTCCACCTAAACTGGAATTCCTTTTGCTGCAACCTCCCATCCCCTTGAACTCAAAAGTCACGTGGCCTCCATATTCCTGCCCAGCCTCTGTTGCACCCCAAAACGCCTCCCCTCCAAAGGGAGACAGGACAGAATCTTTTCAGCATGAAGGCCACTCCAGAGGGAACCAGAGAGGGAGCTGGCAAAGGCAAGGAAACCTCAGCATCCTGAGGGGCCGCCCTCCCACCAGGGGCCACTCTCCCACTGTCAGCGATTCCCAGGGAGACGCCTGGAAGGGAAGTGGAAAAGAAAAGGCAGGCTTTGCTAAAAGCCAGGGTCATCAGGAACCACAGGAGCCCACCTCTCAGCCCTTCCTTCCTCTCACGCAGACGGCTCCACAGGCGCCCACTGCCCCTCACAGCCTTCCCCTGCGGACTCCGACTTGCCTCACATTGTTTGTCCCATCACACGGGCATCTCCACCCACCAAACCATGTGCTCACCATCAGAACAGTCTCCACAACTAAAGGAGAGGCACGATGGAGGGTCAAGGCAGTGGAAGGGCAGGTCAGGGCTCTAAAGACAAGGCAGGGCACAGGACGGGGCGTGGGCCCTGGCGCGAGAGGCCAGCATTCGGGGGGAGAGGGAGGGAGAAATCCAAAGCAGGGCCTTCCCCAAGGGGGAATGTGGGATGAATTCCCTCTTGCTGGGTACCCCGTGGCAAGGGCAGGGAGTTACAGAAGCTCCCTCCTCTGCCCCCTGCAGGTGTTAGAGGCCACACCAACAGGCACAGGAAGGCACCGGGGGCTCCCAGGGCCTGGTACGCATGTCTGGCACCAGGCCCTCTCCCACTCCCAGAGCTCCAGAGGGGGCACTTCCTGGCCCGCCATTATCTCTGGGCTGGACAAGGGCCTGCCTGACTACAGGCCCCTCAGGCCTTCCTTACACTCTATGGCAGGGGTGGGGAATGTCCGGCCCAAGGGCCATATAAGGCCTGGGAAAACATTTGGTCTGGCCCTGCCAAGGCATTACAGGTGAGTTAAATGTTTGACCAAATCTAGCAGGCTGATGTTTAAGTTGATGATTTTGTGTGGCCCGAAAATGATGTTATAAATACCCAAATGGCCGTTGGCAGTAAGAAGGTTCCCCACCCCTGCTCTATGGTCTCGCAGGGTGGAGGATGAGGCTGCTCTCAGCCCTCCCAAAAGGGACAGCCACTCCAGCCCCCCCCAGGCCTTTGCTGGCCCAATGTCTTTGGAAGAGTCTAGAAAAACAACAGTAGCCAATCCAACTTCCCCAGCAGGTGCCTTTTGGAACAGAGCCTCCACTGTCTGCCCAGCGTCTCTCGTCCTCTCCTCCCGGCCTCCCTGAGCTGGTGATGAGAAAACAGAATCCAGATGCTCCTTTCTGATGCCACTTCTCCCTCCCCTCCCCGACCGCTGGTCCTCCAGCCGTCAGGGGGGTGGGGGCAGCTTTAGGTCCAGCAGGGTGTAGGCAAAGATATTCCAGAAGACAGCAAACAGCACAAAGATGGTGTACATGGCCACAAAGATCCACCACAGCGACTGGTCCTGCAGCCTCTGCTCATAGTTCCTCAGGACCACCACGCCCAGGGTGATGCCCACGGCCACGCCACCCAAGTGTGCCACGAAGCTCGGGTGAGGGCACGGGGGATAGGCCGACGGGTGGAACCGGAGCCACACGGCCCGCCCGAACTCCATGCTCACTGCAAGGGGAGGAAGCACAGAGAAGTCACAGGAGGCCCCTGGGCAGGGGCTGAGGGAGAGGCCTTGCAAGCCACCCACCCAGCCACCCGCCCAGACACCCACTCTGCCATCCACCCATTAATCCACTTGCCACAGACCAAGCTCTGTTTGCTCTGCGCACTGGGGACACGGTAGTGAAGCAGACAGACAAGCCTCTGTTCTCCCAGAGCTTATAGGACCTGGGGCAACCCACCAGCATTACATGCACAAGATCAGTTCAGTAAGAGGAACTCTATGGGAAACAAATATAAGTGATTTAAAGTCAACGCTGGGTGTAAGGAGGGGGATTCTTTAGTTTGGAGAATCAGGCAAGATCTCCCTAAAGAGGTGATGTTTGCTCGGCCAGCGTGGCTCAGTTGGTTGAGCGTCGACCTATGAACTAGGAATTCACGGTTCGACTCCTGGTCAGGGTATATGCCTGGGTTGTGGGCTTGATCCCGTGTGGGGTGTGCAGGAGGCAGCCTATCATTGATTCTCTCTCATCATTGATGTTTCTATCTCTCTCTCCCTCTCTGAAATCAATTAAAAAATATTTTTTTGTCCTAGTTGGTTTGGCTCAGTGGATAGAGCGTTAGCCTGTGGACTGAAGGGTCCTGGGGTTGATTCTGGTCAAGGGCATGTACCTCGGTTGCAGGCTCCCGGCCCTGATTGGGGGAGGCAACCAATCGATGTGTCTCTCTCACATCCGTGTTTCTCTCTCTCTCCCTTCCCCTTTCTCTAAAAAAATAAATACAAATAAAATAAAATAATAGATTTTTCAAAGAGGTGACATTTGAGCTGAGATGTGACTATCAAGTGAAGAGCATTTCAGGCAGAGGGGACAGCTCATGCAGAAGCCCACAGGCCCTCAAATCCCTGCTGTCACATGTCCCGGAGGCTCAGCCTCCTCGTCTGTATAAAGTCTCAGCCTCCGTGTACCAGGCTACACTGCCGGGACATGAATAACAAGCAAGGTGTGCTAGCACTTTACAGTGTATAAAGTGTTTGCATGTATCATTTCAAAACCCTCAGAACCAGTGCGTATGTGCTTGGAAGGAAGAGATGAAGGGGGAGAAGGGCAAAGAAGGAATGGAAATAAATGGTCCCAGCAAAGTGCTGGAGTTTCTAACAGATTCTAAGATGCCCCCACCCACTCTCCAACCCATCGTTCTTGCATGAACTTCTTGGATTGGCCAATCCAATGGGGATGTACTCTCTTGAAATAATGGCTGCTGGGAAATTGCCATTTTGTTAACCCACCATTCAAGGACACTTAGGGCAGGTACCCTTGCACCATTTTGCAGATGAGGAAACCAAGGCGAATTTGACAGATTGAAAGAAAATCCTGTGAGGGGAATTGTGTCCTTGTTCAGTTACCATTTAATGCACCAGTGGGCCTCTCTCCACCCTAACCACTCCAGGGGTGCCAGCACCTCCTGGGATTGCCTCAGCTTCTGGCATGGGCCCTGCAACTCCAAGGATGGCCGACAGATGGCGGAAAAGGTGCAGCCAGGGACAGGCACTGTGTCCTCCCCACTCCTCCCCAGGCCTGGGGCATCCTCCTGCCTTTGCTTAGCAGGCCCTGGGTTCCACAGGAGAGGTTTGAGAGACTTGGTCCCCCACTCTAAAACAGCATTTTAGTTTTGATGATCCTTAGAGTTGTTGTTTTTTATTTTTTTAAATATATTTTTATTGATTTCAGAGAGGGAGAAAGAGATAGAAACATGAATCATTGATCGGCTGCCTCCTGCATACCCTACAATGGGATCAAGCCCACAACCCAGGCATGTGCCCTTGACCGGAATCGAACCTGAGACCCTTTAGTCCGCAGGCTGACACTCTATCCACTGAGCCACACCAGCTAGAGCTGTTATTTTTTAAACAGTAAGAGTCATGCTTCTCTTCCCTTCCTTGCAAATAGACAAGCTCAGAGTCTGAGCAGACAGGGAAGCTGTGCTCACCCTTGCCCTCTCCCCTCCACTTCCCCCATTGCCCTGGCTCAGAGTCTGCGCTTTAGGGCTGGGAATTCCTCTCCGGAAGTGGAGATTCTTCAACTGGAAACCGAGACCAGAGAGTCCTGAAAGACATGAATCAAGTGGAGCCCACACAGGCCCCTCCTCGCCATGACTTTTCTGGCCCAGTCTTCCTCTTCCCCACCAGGTAGGTGGCTGGCCCAGGCCGAGACCGTCCAGGTGCTCCTGCCCAGCCTGGCTAAAGTGTGGGCATTAGAAAAGGCACAGGCTGGCTCTGAATTCGGCTCCACCACCTCTGGCTGGGGGGCCAGGGCAAGGAACTCTGAGCCTCGGGTGCACCCCTGAAAATTAAGCCTAAAAATATCCTCTTCACCGCTGTGGTCTGAGGACTGAATGAGAGACTGTGTGTTCCTGTTGTTTTCTTCCTACCCCCTTCACTCTGTTCAGACTATTCTCTCTTTCTATCTCAGAATGAGTCTCTCGGCCTCTGGTCTCATCCCCCGACACGCAACTCCTCCACACTGCAGCCTGACTGGTCTCCCAAACCCGAATCTGTCAGTAACTCTTGTTTAAAACCTTCCAGTGGTTTCCTAGTGTATGAGGGTGAGATGGAAGGAAGGATCTTCCTTTTTGCATTTAAAGCCTTTCATGAGCTGACTCCTATTATCTCTTATCACAATCACACAGTCTCAAACCTCATAGGTCGAATCTGCAACCGACTTGCAGGCCGTGACCCCTCATAGCTTGTGTCTTGGTTCAGGCTGCACTTTCGCCTGCAATGCCCGCTCACACCTTGGCTACCCGGTGACCACCTGCCTCTCTTGGTCCACATGGCCCCTGCAGGTAGAACGGACCTCTCCTGACTAGGGCCCACAGCCTGCTCCTGGGGGTGCATGGGTTACTTACAGTTCGTAAACCTGCTAAAACTACTAGTTTTAGTGCAAATGCACACACACACATACGTGCGTTTTTCCAGGGATGGGGTCTCTAGCTCCCAACAGGAGATCTCAAAGGATCGACTCCGTGACCCAAAAGGTTATTAAGAAGTTATTTTGCTTGACCTGGATGCCGGTCATTGAGCCGGACACTTACTCTGTGTGCACTTTTCCGTTTGCATATCACATGTCAATAAAAAGATTAAGAAACGTTAAGAAATAGCAGAGCGGGCCAGACTTCTCTCATAACACTTTGTTGCATATTATTGACAACCCCTCCCCTCTTTTTCTTGACCATAAGCCCCCGAAGGGCAGGGACTGTGCTGTCTTCATATCCCCAGGCCCAGGCCAGGCTCCCTCCCCCTAGCCGGCCGGTCAGTACTTACTACAGATCAAGGCCACACCCATCCGCAGCAGCTTGAATTGGCACTTCATGCCTGACCAGTTCTAGGAAAAGAGGAGAGAGTCCCATTAGTTCCAGATTGGAGCTCTCCTCTGCAGAAGTGTCTCGCTTAAGAAAACCTGACACTTAAAAAAGTCATCTCCGCTCGGTCGGCGTGGCCCAGTGGTTGAGCACAGACCTATGAACCAGGCGGTCACGGTTCAATTCCCAGTCAGGACACCTGCCCAGGTTTCCAGCTCCATCCCCAACTGGGGGCGTGCAGGAGGCAGCCAATCAATGATTCTCTCTCTTCATTGATGTTTCTCTCCCTCTCCCTTCCTCTCTGAAATCAATAAAAATACATTTAAAAAGAAATAAATAAATAAGTCATCTCCATTAAGTCCTGAGTGAGGGGTTGTGGCTTAGTCACAGATCACACCGGCGTGGCTTTAAGACTTTAGACAACGGTAAGCGTGTTACTGTTGGAAAGTTCTGAAGCCGCACTAGCTGGACATAGACAGAGGGAACTGAGAGTCTGTCTCCTCCAGGCACACAGACACCACCTGGGAGTTGCATTAATTGCTGGGTCTGTGGGAGGCAGTTAGACAGACGTGAGCAGAGCAAGGACAGATATGGGCCAGGTACAGAAGGTCACCAGAGTGGAAAGTCCCAGTGCCTAGCAATGGACAACCAATTGTAGGGTGGGACCTGCTCCCAGGATGACTTTTCTTCTCCTAGCATAACCATGGTCACCAGGTTTGGAACCCCTGACCTTTCCTCCCTAGAGATAACATCTAGGCCTCAGTTGTATTTCAACTCCAGGCCCAGATAAGCAACCAAACCAGCCATGGCTGACTGACTGGTGTCGGGACCAGCTGCACTGAATAATGACCCCCTGTCCTGGTGCCGGCCAATCAATCAGTGGGGACCACAACCCTGAAAGGACCCACCTGGAAAACTGCTGAATGTTCTATTAAAAGATATTTCCCTGGAACCTCCCCTAAAATCTCCGCCCTTAAACTCTGAGGAGGGAGGACCCAGCGTGTTCTCCCTCCAAGGAGCATGCAAGTTCCTTTCCCTTCCCCCTCCCCCTCCCTTCCCCAGACACAGCACAGAACCATTAGCTTCCTCACTCCCAAGCTCCAAAGGCCCTTCCTTTACCTCCGTAACTCATTTCCTAAGCCCACTGCTTCCAGGAATTACTTTTTCTCCCTCTGTAATTTACCCAATACATGTTCTCTTACAGTTTGAGTCTTGGCTCTGAATTCTTTCCTAGCCAGAACCCAAGTACTGAGGTTGCTGAACCCAGGTTTGGTCTGACCCCACCGGTCATACAACTGGTGCCGCTCCTGCTGCCTACAACAAACAGGTCCGGGGTTGCAAAGGGATGCAGGACAGCAAAGCAAGCAAAGTCCAAGCAGAACCATCAAGATGATTAGAGAACTCAAAATCCTGCATATGCGGAAGGATTGAAGAGAAGACTCAGAGGTTAAGTTCACTGTTGTCAGGTGTCAAGTGAGTCAACACAAGGAAAGGGCGAATTCAGTGTAACCTGCAAGCAGAAGACTCAATGGATGAAAACTTCGGTGAGATTTTTTTTTTAAGCAAGAGAAAATAACCAAATTTGAAACATACAAATGAACGGGAACCCAGCATACATGAGAGTCAGAGACCCCACATGCATGAGAGGTTCAAAGATAGGAAAGGCACATGGGTGTGTAAGATGTCCTGAGCCAGGATGAGGTCAGGTGGCTTGGGGGCTTCAAAGGGTCATTGCAGGTGATAAATAGAAGTGTGTCCTGCCTTATAGATAGATCAAAGGAGGTTATCTCTGATGATCTCTTATTATGGGCAAGGTCCCTCATTCAAGTTCTTCTAGGTAGTTAAGGGAGGGGCATAAGTTTCTCTTCAGCCCGCAGCTAAAGTTGCCTTTAGCTCAAAGCAATCTGCATATCTCAGAGGCCCATCTTGGGGTGACTCATTCTGAACCCCCATAGTTCCCGCCTCTGAGACTTCCTTGGAAGTTTCACATTCCAGAAGTTGAAAAAGAGGAGAGAGTTCCATTAGTTCCAGATCAGACCACTCCTCTGCTGTGTTCTGAGGACCGAGTGAGAGACCGAGTGGTCCCTTTGCTCTCTTCCTACCCCAGGGTAGACTGTTCTGTATCTCATTAAACCAGCCTCAGTCTGGAGGAGGTAGTCCCGTTAAACCGTTGTGTCCCATTTCAGGAGGCGGTGATGCAGTGGGCTCCCAAAGGTAGGCCTACAGTGCAAGCTATCAGTTGTTTAATGAGAGGCATCTCTATGGAAGCAGAAGAAAAGCAAAGGTTAGTGACTGGAGCAGACTATAACCTCTGTTTCTGAGTAAGGAGGCAGGCAGTCAAGAAGACTTCTAGATGTCTGTCTCCCATCATCTTCAGATGGAGTGAAGGCAGGCAGTGACAGTCGGATCGATTCACACAAAGGTTTTTTTTTTAGCTCAGGGTAAGTTTCCATTTCTACTAAGCAGAGCTGCCCAAAGATGGATTGATCAATCCTGGGGGATGGTGAGTTTCCCATCACTGAGGGGTTCACACGGGGCTTCCCATCACTTGAAGGGGATGCTCTAGCATTGGGCATCGGGAGGAGGTGGGCCAGACGGCCTCCAAACAAATCCCTTTCCCCTGAGAATCTCCGAACACGCCGAACCTCTACAGGCGATGAACGGAGTACAATTATTCACCTTACAAAAGGATTTTTCACTTTACAAAAGCCGTCGCCACAGGGTTCCTGTGAGGGGCACTCCTGCGGTGCATTCAAAGCTCTACTCCATTTACCAAAGCGTGACGTGCAGACACAGAGAGGAGCCGGGGTCTTGGGGAACACATCGGACCGAGGGAAGGAGGCCACTGGCTACAGCCAGGGGCTTCTGTTCCCTCCCCACCCACCCTGCCTCCTTTGTGGCCTGGCCCAGGCCCAGCTGAGGGGCACGTCTCGCACTCCTTTGACAGTGGGGGACACGTGTTAAACTTCACAGAGGCCCTGAACACTGGCACATACAATAGTGTCTATGGGAGCTTCGGGGGAGTGAGTGGGATGCAGGGAAGCTGCCAAAAAGAGGGAGAAATCCCTGGGCATTGGGCTTCTTGCCCATCATCGCCCTCCCCCCCATTATTCCTCACTGACCGGCAAGCCCTGCTTCACAAAAGGCAAGATGGGCAACACACGGCCCTTTTTAGATGGGGAAAGTCTAACCTTCGCTCACTGACAGGTTCTATGCTAAGAAGCAGATGGCAGGACAACGTTGTCCCCTCCAGGTGTCTGCCCACAGAGAAGCCTCCCCAGGAGACAGGGAACCAAATGAACTGGTGCCCTCCACTGACCTGGCAACCCGTCTGGAACTAGCTCAGTTAGCCGATGCTGGGCAGCCCTCAGCTCCTCTCCAGGATGGGCAGGGCCTTGGGAGTCACCTGATGGACCATCTTCTCCTAAATGGTACACCCGCTGCCAACAAATGGCCTGCGACAGGGAGCTCACCATCCCACTGGGCAGCCTGTGAACTAATCACCGAAAAGCTCTTCCTGCTACTGTCCGGCCAGGCTTTGCCTCTCTGTGATAACCATCCATCAGGGGTCTTAATTCTCCCTTAAAAGTGACACCATGTTCATAGCAGTATTATTCACAACAGCCAAGTGTCCATCAACAGATAAATGGAGAAACAAAATGTGGTCTATCCATCCAAGTGGAGTATTATTCAGCCTTAAAAAGGAAGAAAATTCTGATGCATACTATACACTTCAATGGACAGTGAGCAGATTATGCTAAATGAAAGAAGCCAGTCACAAAAAGACAAATATTGTATGATTCCACTTATATGAGGCACCTAGAATAGCCAAATTCATAGAAACAGAAAGTAGAATGGTGGTTGCCACGGGCTGGGAGGAGGGAGGAATGGGGAGTGTTTTATGGTTATAGAGTATCAGTTTTGCAAGATGAAAAGAGTTGTGGATGGATGGTGGCGATGGTTGCACAATGACGTGAATGTACTTAGCACCACTGAATGCACACTTAAAAATGGTTAAGATGGTACGTTATAATTTATGTATATTTACCACAATTAAAAACAAAAGTGAGCCCAACTGGTGTGGCTCAGTAGTTGAGCGTCGACCCATGAACCAGGAGGTCAAGGTTCGATTCCTGGTCAGGGCACATGACCTGCTTGTGGGCTCAATCCCCAGGAGGGGACGTGCAAGAGGCAGCTGGTCAATGATTCTCATCATTGATGCTTCTATATCTCTTTCCCTATCCCTTCCTCTCTGAAATCAATTAAAATATGTTTAAAAAAACCACAAGCTAAAACAGAAGTGATACAGAACACTTCTAGATCACTTTTCCTTATAAAAACCTCTGATTATTTTACCTGAACACAGTATCTCTTTCACTGAGTTCTGGGTGATAACGTCAAGCAAAGTAAGTCTAGTATTGACTGCTCTCTGGGTCTGCTGAGGTCCATGCCCCATCTCACCATCTGGGATCTGTCTTAGGAAGCACCATTCATATTCTGGGTCTGGGAAGACCATGGCGGCAGGGGTGGCTCAGAACTCCTTTTTTGCTAGTGTCCCTCATTTGTAAGTTTGCAAAAACAATATAACCATAGTGCCCATGTCAATTACCAACCTCACTGGGTTGCTGTGAAGGTGAAATGAGTTGACACATATAAAGCACAAAAAACATGCCTGGCACATAGTATATGCCACTGCCTGATACTAGTATCTAGATCTGAGGCAAAGATGGCGAGTTTGCCCTGCACAATGGCATTAAAACTTCTGAACCCCAATGACCTTAAGTGGAGAGCCGGGAGCCCCGGTTTTGGTACAGTGCTCCCCAGGCCAGCTTCATGTACAATACCTGCCTGGTCCCCAAAGGCTCTGAGGTTTGCCACGCTGACCCAGTCACACCCTCTGTCCTGCTCTTTAACTGAGAAGAGACTGAGGGTCCAGGGGGGCTAGTTCAAGGTCAAACACAGTGACTTCATGGCGAGATTGAAAGGATTCCCGGTGCAGGGCTCTGTCTGCCCACACTTCTGG